AAATCCTTAATACCAAGACACATATGCCGACACAAATCTATAAAACCAAGACATATGTTACCCAGCAGTTCACCCCTACCTGTGACCTACATACCCCTACTTCTGTTGACGAAAGCCAGACCTTGTCCTAGATAACTAAGGGATGAAGAACAGAACTGTTAACACCCCTCCCCACACCCACCCATTCCACGATGCTGCCATTACTTTGATGTCGTCTACCGTTTAATTACCGTCTAATTAATTCCAACCTTACTTTGCGTAAAGCCAAGAAACGTTTAAAATCAGCCAAAACTTAATTTTTGTGCTGAAATAAAAAACAACAACCTAAACTGCAAGAGTTACCTACTGCAAGCTTTTTATGTGTTGTATTATAATTATATACCCGTTTTTACGAGATACTATAACATACAGTTGATTATAACTAATCTTACAAACAGGATATATTTTAACACACTCAACATTACTTAATATGTCTCTCACGACTGCACGTCTTATAACATATTTATGTCAACAACCCTCTAGCCTATAACACATTTGGAACTAGAAAAAGTGTGTGTTGTTATAAATATAATATGAGCATCAAATCATTTAAAAAGAAATAAAAGTTTGTATATTAGGTTGTAACCAATTGCAAGGTCTACTACTGTGTTTAAAATGAAGAAAGTGTAGGCTAAATAACAGGAATATTAGGAGATAATAGAATGTAAAAACCAAAGGTCGTTTTCTATAGCAATGTGAGGTATGATATGACGTCACCAACAGCTTCTGTGGGAATTCCCGAAGCAACGATGAGTTTCAAAGCTAAAGAATTGGGCTGCACTTGCACTTACGCACAGGGTGCGTGCACTTTGTCTTAAAGCCGTTCTTCACGTGATCGGTGCAGTTTTGATGGGCATGCGCAGAACTAGATCTAGGGATAAACAGAAAAGCCTCAGGTTTTTTTTTTGACAGGAATTCGTGATGTACATAAATAGATCATAGCGAATAGAGACTTCTTTATGCTTTCTCAAAATCATTTCCATCCCCCCCCCCAGCCCCTCATTTGTTTGAATTTCAATCTTTCTTAACTATTTGCATTTTAAGCCCTCCATTACAGCATCTAATTTTTTGTTAGCGCAGCTCTTGTGAAAATCTAAAACATCTTGTGTCCCCCCCTCCCCCAAATGTTTCTACTTGTAAGCGGGCCAATACCCACACACGTTAAGCATTGTGTTACAAAACTTTAAGTTAGCAAACCATAGTAAAACTAGAGAATTTTGTGCTGCCCCCCCCCCCCTCTCATTATACCTGACCGTATCGCATTTCTGATTGATGTATGCATCTGTAATGCTTTGCTACGTAAACTTAATGCGGATTCTCGCATTAAAGAATGCCATTTTTTGTGTGTCAGTCAATGCATAATGTCACTTCACTGAATGGAGATTCCATTTAATGGTGTCACTCTATGAAATGGTGTCACCCTATTGAAAGGTGTCACTCTATTCACTGGAGTCACTCCATGAACGGTGTCACCCTATTCAATGGCGTCACTCCATTGAATGAGGTGAATGGTGACACCCTATTGAATGGTGACACCCTATTGAATGGTGTCTTGCATTGAATGGTGTCACCCTATGTGTTCACACCAAACCTAGCTTGTGATGCCATTTTTAAATTAGATGAAAACACCCGAAAAATGTGTGTGGATAATTATACATCCATTATATTACCAGGTGCCGCTGTTTCATAATCTAAGAAACTTATTTATATTTGATTCTTATTCTCGTAGATTGTAAGCCTACATTTTATATTCAACTTTCCGCGCAACTCTTTGCGCTAGAAAGCGTCTCATTGTTGATGAAACGCGGGTTCTAATTTTGGTAAATCTTCTGTCTCCCAACTCATAACCACTAAAAAAACTTTAACCAGACAATCTATCTATATATATAATTCTCTTACAAGCTGTAAGCGCGCTCCCTACCACCCCCACCCCTACATGGTCTGGTGAGCTGTGGTTCACGCTAAATGTTTACAAGCAGAGCCGGGTTTAGTGACGACTATTAGGGGCAGATAATTTAGTTTGAAACGATTTTAAACGTAGGGGGGGGGGTAACTAAGTGGAGTTTACTTTAACGGAGGGGAGGGGAGGGGTGGGGGGGGTTATCGTCCTTAACGAGCTACTTATAGTGTTTTAAAGAAATATTTTCAGTGGCAGCGTTGGTACTGTTGAATTCACAAATTATGAATTACTGAAAAGTATAAAATAAAACAACTAAATAGTGGCGTATGATATGCCGCGGGTCGGCTTATTCGAAATAAACGGCTAAAAAAGATTATAAAATGACTTGACTCTAGATCCCTACCCTCAGGCTTACCAACCAAAGTGAAGACCGCACCGGGTGACACCATTGGGGGGGGGGGGGGGAGTGACACCAAGGCAAAAAATTGCAAAATGTAAAGAAGAAAAATGCCTTTTATCCATTAGTGATTAATTAAAGTCTTTTCAATACAAATCGACAATTATTACAAAAAGGTGGGGGGGGGGGGGGGGGGGGGACGGGACAACATGACGTAAACACGTGCTAACTATAAATAAAACAATGGTACATCCAACTGTATTATTAACAGCTATAGATAAACATCGTTACTTTTAAGTCTGCAGTGATTAAAGCTTATACACATTTATGTACCCGGATGTCCCGGATGTGGTACATATTTAAATTATAGGCCTATGTAGACCGACATATATATATATATATATATATATATATATATATATATATATATATATATATATATATATATATATATATATATATATACTTTGTTTCTTGTGGGAGGGTGGCACCACGAAATGCCGCACCGGGTGACACCCGACCTAGCGACGCCGCTATACCCAGGTACTTGAATAAAGCAATAAATCTAGCCTGTCCTCTAATTCTATGCATATTTTAAAACTAACAATCACTTGTAACATTTAGTGTTCTATTGTCTGAAGAGCCAGTGGCATAAATCGGTACTCCGTCAACTGAAGAGCGGTTACGTTTTGTGATAACTGTAGTGTAAACTAAGGCCTAAGTAGCTACACCAAAAGAAAACGAAAATTCACACAAATATCGGCGGGATTATCACGTGGTTTTTGTATACCAGTAGCACATTACTTACCTATCTTCAGGTTTTAATGCGAAAATTAGATCCAATTTAAAACTGCAACAATCCTAGAAATACCGTAGTTGCGATATTCCTGGATGTACAAAAACTGTGTCCTAAAAACACGTACACTTGGCGCAATTCTTCCCGTGGAAATGGCGAAACGTTATCACCCCACTAACCTTCCCGTGCTGAACGAACGGATTTTCTAGGCAAGCGGAACGAAAGGAAACAGTGGTTTTCAGACAGGCCTGTGGTACTACGTTTCTTCTTCTATTTCATGTCTGTCATTTAAACCCCCCTATTTGGGGATGGGGGGGGGGGGGTAGAATTTAAACTACCACTGTACGCGACTTTAAAGAACGGTGGGGGGGGGGGGGGGGGGGGGGACGACGACAATGTAGAGGTAGTTAGACTTGTTTTTCTCTGTCAAGGTGACTCGAGTCGTTTCCCCTTAAGTCCCGGACGTAGGTTGTTTCCCTTTGTTTTGATTGATCTCCTGGCGTACTCGCGGCGTTGTCGCCCCTGTGTTAGACATGCACAATAGGGCTCGGTCAAAGGTCGCTCCGTTCGTTCACTGCCCGTTTTCACTTCCTTTGTTAAATGAGCTTAGTGAAGGTACTCGACGTGACTTGAGTCACATTGTCCGAAACGTGACCTTGACTTTTTGATGTTTGACCTTGAAAGTAATAAAGGTCGTTATAATGTTGGTTGATTATGTAGTAAGTTTCGTAACATAAAATAGTATTAATAGTATAATCATAACTGAAGTTGCTAAATACTTTTTTATTTCGTGGATAGTGATGTTTAGGTACAGTGAATACAATAGTACATGAACATTTGCCGTAGTTTTTTGTTGTTGGTTTTTAATCAGTTTAGTTTAAAGGTGTCACGCTTGAATTAATTCAGGTTAAATACAAAGACGGTCCACAATATACCCGGGACAAAAAGTCTGATGCACTAAGCGTAACACAAACAAATATAGTGTAGGGCTTCACTTGAACAACTGAAGAACTGTAGAATTAAAATGAATTTTATCTAAAGTTGGATGAAGTCCTTAACACCCGTAGATCTGACAAAGTTGACAAAATCTATTGTTATGAGACTTCAGGGTCGGACTGTAGGGCGTCCAATGCTAACCCGAAAGTCTCTAGGTTTAAACCCATGGCTCGTATTTGCAAGACGCCATGAGGCCACCCAGCTCTAATGGCATCCCACTCACGCAATGGAAAGTTGGAGCGGCTGAGCATGGAACTGAACACACTATCCCTTTACCGAGTGCACAGAAACAGGTGAACTCTACTTCATCTGCCCTATTGATATCCAAATCCAAAATAATTATTTATCTACCTCATTTGCCAATAGATAGTAAATCTGTTTTCTCTTAATTGTTCAGCTCTCTTTTAATTGTTCTGTTTGTTTTGTTTTCAACAAATTTGTTCTGGCATAGTATGTTCTGTATTTTGTTTTGTTCTATTCATTCCGCCAAACAACAACTTTGTAATTACATTCTATCAACCATGCAGTTGCAAATAACGGGAATTATTGCATGCTCATCTAAAGACAGACCATCAGAGTTTTAACAGTGTCGCCCCCCCCCCTAAATTTTAGTCCGCCTCCTCCCGAAATTTTCAAGTGCCCCCGCCCCCTCCCCGGGAGAAAAAAGTCTGGAAGAAACACTGCAGACCACTATACTGTTCTACTTTTTTCTGCTATGTTATTTGTGTGTGGCTTTGTTTTGCCCAGTTTGTTCTGGCCACATAAAAACTAATGTTAAGTTTTTACTAGTCTAGTATATTGCAACAATAACAATACATACACATAAAAATCATTCATATGCTACAAAGGCATATTCTCATTCAATATAAATATTGATTCGTCATCGTTTTATTAAGATCCTTTACCCGCATATAAATGAGAGCGAACATTCACAATTTACAGTCATAAAATATACCAACGATTGAGTAGTACACGGCATTTTTTAGACATGTGCGCATCATATCGGCACAACAACAGGGGAGACAGTTCAAGCGACATTACTCGTCCATCTTACTGAAATAAGATTAACCTTGGTTGTCCCCCATGTCTCGCAGACCAGATGAAACCCAACGGTCGTGACGTCACGGACGATGACCTTGTACTGGATGTCAAGGCTGGAGGTGATGTCCATGACCGTGACCCCGGCGTTGACCATGGGCTTGGTCCTGTACGGGGACCTGAAGAACACGTTCTTGGTGATGCCTTTGTACCCGCTGACCCCTGTGGAGCTCCAAGAATCCGAGTTTTCACAGGCGACCAACCCTTCCTCGAAGTGGGGAACCTTGAGGGCCTCAAGCGCGGCCTTGATCTCCGCGACCTCGGCCTTCAGCTGGTTGACCGTGGTCTCAAGGTCAGTGCTGTTAGTGACGTTGACGTGCGTGTCGGCGGGCTTGTAGTCCAAGGTCAAGGTTTCTTCAAAGGTGACGGCTCGCCCGAGAAGGTCAAGGGCGTTGATCTCGCAGGTGTAGGTTTTGGCCTGGTTCACCCCGGGGTTTGACCAGGTCAGCTCGAGGTATTCGGGGTCGGAGGGGTCCTGGGGGTGCAGGGTCCCAGTGGCGGTTAGAAGACCGACGTCTGCTTTGACTTCAGGGGGGTTGGTGGTGACGATGGTGGCGACGATCTCACTCGCACCTGTAAGCAGATGTAAGGTGAGTTAACAGTCACGTGTGGAAGTAGATGTAAGGTGAGTTGGTGACACATGTAAGCAGATGTAAGCTAAGTTAGTCACACGTGTAAGTAAATGTAAGGTGAGTTAACAGTCACGTGTTTGAGTAGAAGTAAGGTGAGTTGGTCACATGTAAGCAGATGTAAGATGAGTTGGTCACCAGTGTAATCAGGTGTAAGGTGTAAGGTGAGTTGGTCACACGTGTAAGCAAATGTAAGGTGAGTTAACAGTCACAAATGTAATTGGATGTAAGGCGATTGTTGGACAAACTAGTCTAACATCATGATGTTTGACAGATTACCACAGCCAATGGTTGGGCAGTCTGGTCATCGTGATGTTTGAGAGATAACCATTGGGGATGGTAAGACAAACTAGTCAATCATCATGATGTTTGACAGATTACCAAATTTTTGTTTCAAGTTCCGCCTACGCTTAAACTACCTTGGTGCCTAAGACTTGTGAGTGACAATACTCAACAACAACAAAATTGTATTCTGCACGTCAAATTTTTTTGTTAAACTATAAACAAGAAAGCAGCCAGCATAACCAATTACATTTTATTTAGATCTATGCCTTAGCAGCCGAAAGAATAAAACTGAATAAAGCCTACCATTTTTTAAAAATAGCTTCTTTTTTTTTTAATTTTAGGCTATCGTAGAATTTAGTGTGTTTATTTTTAAAATTTCAAAAGGATTTAATAGTTAAAAACTATCTTTGTTTTGCTGAAGTTTATACACTGTTGCCATAGTTACGACATCGACATTTTTTGATGTCGTAATAAAACCTAAAAAGACCAACAAAAGCTACCGACCTCTGAGCACAATGATGGAATTGACAATCTGTACGTCATAGCTGGTGTTAGATACGGCTCTTCCAACAACTGCTTCTCCTCCCGTTTCCTGGGGTACATTAAAAATTAAAAATAAATAAAAATAGAACGTGTCCAGTTTTGTTGGAAGTGCTTATATCCGCCAACGGTAGAGGAAACACGCAACGTGTTTATATCCTCTCACATCCTGTCAGATTTAGCACCTATTTATAGACATACATATTTTTAGAATTTTCACTACGAGTTTTGTTCGCAGAAGTTGGATCGATATAGCTCTAGATTTAGGTTTAAATAAAACGTCATACACAGAGGGCATTATTTTAGTGGTAAGGGCCAAGGGATTGTCAATCAACTACGTCAAGCTTTTTAAAACGATTTTTACCTCCCCTTACTCACTATTACATATTGCCAGAAAAAGCCAAACACCCCCCCCCCCCCCCCATTTCCTTGTAAAATGAAGTCACTTCCCAGCTTAGCACCCCTCTGATTTTTAAATTTTGTAAAAATAGTGATTTCTTTGTAAGGGTTTACATATTAATCAAACTGTGTTTAAAATTTACGAAAAAAAAAAAAAAAAATTGAAATAATCACTGAAATTAAGTTTTTAACATTATTTTTTTTTAAAATGTAAAAGTGTGTCATCATACAAATTATAACTCAGTCGGACAATGTGTAGTTGGTTCAATTCAGGTTCCAAGATTTGTGGAATATACCTTTAAAATAAAGTAACTTTTACATTTTTAAATCACATTTTAATAACTTATGGTCTATTGTATTATATTAAAAACTCGATATTCTTGCTTTGTCTCCCTAAATCTACCACTGTGCAAAAAACAACAACTCAGATTTTAATTAGGATTCCAATATTTGTGGAGCCACACACACACACAAGCACGCGCACGCAAACTCACGCACGCACGCACACACACACACACATACTTATACACACGCACACGTAGACACACACATACTGCGCAAGCTAAAAATAAAAGCCTTTTTAAAAAAAAAGCACAAGCAACAGCCGACAAAGAAACAAGAAACTGAGATCTGGTCTAGAAATAAGAAGATGAGATCTGGTCTAGAAACAAGAAACTGAGATCTGGTCTAGAAATAAGAAGATGAGATCTGGTCTAGAAATAAGAAGATGAGATCTGGTCTAGAAATAAGAAACTGAGATCTGGTCTAGAAAAAAGAAACTGAGATCTGGTCTAGAAAAAAGACAATGAGATCTGGTCTAGAAAAAAGAAACTGAGATCTGGTCTAGAAAAAAGACAATGAGATCTGGTCTAGAAAAAAGACAATGAGATCTGGTCTAGAAAAAAGACAATGAGATCTGGTCTAGAAAAAAGACAATGAGATCTGGTCTAGAAAAAAGACAATGAGATCTGGTCTAGAAAAAAGACAATGAGATCTGGTCTAGAAAAAAGAAGCTGAGATCTGGTCTAGAAAAAAAAAATGAGATCTGGTCTAGAACCAACTTTGAGTTGTAACTCACCAGCAGGGCACATCTCAGCTTGACGCTCCCAGCGTCCTGGACTATGGTGCTGGAGGTGGTGGTGAAGAAGATCTTAGAAGCTGTTGAATGAAATCATGAAGGTCACATCACATTCGTTGGCACAATTCAGAAAAGTTTTAAAATATTTTTTTATTCATATAAACTTTTATTTTACTCGAACATTACTAATATATTACACTAGCTGCATCCCGTGCTCCGCCACGGTAAATCTTTTTTTAAATGTACCAACAGAACAAAACTAAACACAAAACAAACGAACGCAAAAAAAAAAAAAAAAAAAAAAAAAAAAAAACGAAAAAACAAACACAACACTCATAACATAAACACAATTTAAATGCAATCATAAAGGCATATTGCTCACAGTCTAGCCCGTAGCGCCAAATCGCGCCCTTTCCGGTGATTTGCACCCCCCTCAAACTTTCGATTTGCACCCCTCCCCCCCCCCGCCCTAAAATTTTCGATTTCCACCACCTCCCTCCCCCCTCGCAAATTTTTTCCAACCCACTTTGGCGCCCCCTAAGGTCGGCACCCGGGGACATATGCCCCCCCCTCTCGCTACGCCTCTCCTATAAAACCCGAAAGATAGAATAATAATTAGTAAACAGTATAAATAATAGGCAGTATCTATAATATATACAATATTTCACTTTACCCATTCACGCATTTTTTTTCCAGTACTTTAAATTTTAAAAATTTACAATAGAGTTTCATAACTAAAACCATTGCGCACCTAATGAACGTGATGACGCGTCTATAATAGTGCTGAATAGTTGATTAAAAATTATAAGTAATAAACAGTAGGGCCTACATTCAGTGAATAAAATAAATAAAAGATTGCCTTTTATCAATCCATGCTAATTATAATTTTCAAACAATAATTTCCTCTTACACATCCGAATAATTTGCATTCACATTTTGCTAATTATATTATTGCAACACTAATTCCTTCTATGACGAACGTAGGTCCTATATTTGCATTTACATTTTTTATTAGCGTGAGTTTAATGTATTTTTAAATTACCTCCTTTGTCAAAATTAGAAAAGAGTTAAATTAATTTGATTTTTCTACCGTACTGTTATTATCTTATTAAAATGTATCCACTTTTTCTGGGAACCTAAACGAAAATGATATTTGACATTAATCTTTTTAATACGTTTTAGCAGTTTGCGTGTATTTAATATTTTCTTGACGTTATGCGAAAGAGTAAAAACCGTGGCAATTATAAAATAGCTCTATGCCGCTATATAAACAAACCCTACTCTAATACTTATAATAAGACACTGCGGTGCACTGAAAAGCACAGCATGGTGCGAATGTTTACTTTTATGGTTCCAAAATCTATAGCGATGACGGAAGGAAGGAAGGAAGGAAGGAAGGAAGGGAGGAAGGAAGGACTGACACACTACCAGCAGCGTTATATTATAGATTAACGTTTCTACATTAAAATAAAAATTAAAAACAGCTCTTAGTTTACAAAAATTAATCAAGAAAAAAACATTTGATTAAATAATAAAAAATACAGAAAGCCGAATTTAAAAAAATTAGACCGTTGTATAGTTATAGTTATTTTTTCGACATTAAAAAAATCAAATTTTTTTTCCTAATCACATGCGTGAACATATAACCTACACGTGAGTATACATATAACCTACACGTGAGTGTACATATAACCTACACGTGAGTGAACATAAAACCTACACGTGAGTAAACATATAACCTACATGTGAGTGTACATATAACCTACACGTGAGTGTACATATAACCGACACATGAGTGAACATATAACCTACACGTGAGTGAACATAAAACCTACACGTGAGTGTACATATAACCGACACGTGAGTGAACATAAAACCTACACGTGAGTGTACATATAACCTACACGTGAGTGAACACATAACCTACATGTGAGTGTACATATAACCTACACGTGAGTGTACATATAACCGACACATGAGTGAACATATAACCTACACGAGAGTGAACATATAACCTACATGTGAGTGTACATATAACCTACACATGAGTGTACATATAACCTACACGTGAGTGAACATATAACCTACACGTGAGTGAACATATTACCTACACGTGAGTGTACATATAACCGACACGTGAGTGAACATATAACCTACATGAGAGTGTACATATAACCTACACGTTAGTGTACATATAACCTACATGTGAGTGTACATATAACCTACACATGAGTGTACATATAACCTACACGTGAGTGAACATATAACCTACACGTGAGTGAACATATTACCTACACGTGAGTGTACATATAACCGACACGTGAGTGAACATATAACCTACATGAGAGTGTACATATAACCTACACGTTAGTGTACATATAACCTACATGTGAGTGTACATATAACCTACACGTGAGTGTACATATAACCGACACATGAGTGAACATATAACCTACACGTGAGTGAACATAAAACCTACACGTGAGTGTACATATAACCGACACATGAGTGAACATATTACCTACACATGAGTGAACATATAACCTACACGTGGGTGAACATATAACCTACACGTGAGTGAACATATAACCTACACGTGAGTGAACATATAACCTACACGTAAGTGTACATATAACCTACATATGAGTGAACATATAACCTACACGTGAGTGAACATATAACCTACACGTAAGTGTACATATAACCTACATATGAGTGAACATATAACCTACACGTGAGTGAACATATTACCTATAGACAGGTGAGCACACGCCAGCAGCGTGAGTACAGTAACATGCATGATGGTGTAGTTCTGGAAGAAGGTCCAGGTGAAATGATCTAGAAGATTTGAGTTACTTCGTCAATCATTAATTAATGACCTACTTAAATGTAATCGTGACCGTTCTTATCGTGAAATCCTACATTATGGTGTATGATTGTAAAAAAATATAAAACTAAATTAGGAATGTTTACTCTAAACTTACAGTGCAGAAAAGTGAAACAAATATATATATAATTTATCAGAGAATCAAAAATATTATTCAATTAATTAATATAAGAAGCATATGGTCATCAGACAATATTGTGGTAGTTTAGCCATACATTAAATGTTGGGAGGTGATTGAAGAATCAGGTCCACTCTACTCGGACTACGCTTATGAAAATGTTGAGTGTAGCAATATTGATTAACTTTCCTGGGCAGATTTAGAACCTCGGACCAGTAGCTTCGAAAGGTGGGTATGGGGCAGTGGCGGAACTAGAAAAAATGGGCCACCCCGCAAAAATTTTTTTTTGGCCCCCTCCATATATATATATATATATATATATATATATATATATATATATATATATATATATATATATATATATATATATATATATATATATATATATATATATATATATATATATATATATATATATAAACATACAATACGAACATAGGATACTCATTTCTGGCCTGATCGGCTTTTGAAAATTTTTTTTAATGAAATCTAATCACAACATGTCATGTGTATGAGTGGATTGGTCTGTATTGAAAATCTGTTTTCATTTATGTTTGCTTTAATACTTCTAATCATGAAGTCGGTCAAAAGTATATAAATCATGAAGCTTTGTATAAGTAATGGTGTCTAGTTTTATGTTTATTTTTATGTTTTTTTTTTATTTATATTATTAGATTTAACTACATTTCATTATTATACTATACCATTCTTTAGTACTTATTTTTAAAAAAATAATAATTAAGAAAAGTAATTGCTGTTTAATTTGATTATTACAAATCTATTAAAAGGAGCTTATGAGCAGCCCTTTTTCAGTATTTTAAAAAGGGAAATAATTTATGGAAGTGGTTTGAACGTTTGCCTATCTTTCACACTACAGCTCATGTGTATATTTTAAAAAAAAATTATACGCAACAGCATGTCTTAGCTACAATATATTATTACTAATGTATTCGATCTGTTATTTGTTTGTTATTTACAAAACCACTATCAAGGTGCCAGTGACGAAACTAATATATATATATATATATATATATATATATATATATATATATATATATATATATATATATATAACACGCTATCATTCGTGTATTTATTTGAGACGTTTGCCTTGTTTTCTAGAACAGTGGTTATTAAATGTAAACAATGTCGGCACTTTATTTCTTGGATATTAGTTGTTGGAGCGCTAGTTTGTCTACACTACCACCGATACGAGCCAGCTTAGTTGTTGAGGCGCTATATATTCGCTTCTTGTAAGGCTAAGAACGGGAGGGGAGGTCTGAGAAAGGAACTTAAAGGGACAACAAAGCACCGATGTGCTTTTATCCATCAGTACCAAATTTGGGATGGTCTCAAAAAGCCGTCTTAATGTCTAGCGGCCTCTCGCGCAATTGATGTTTTTTTCAAAAGAATTTTGCCGACAACAGCTTGTATTTGATTGTAGGAAAAAGAATATACAAGAGCTTGGGATGGTGTCTATAGAATAAAAAAGTCCAACCGCAGCTACATTATTCTTTTTCAAAACAACCATCAGGTCAAAAAGGCAAGAAAATTAATTTTAACTTAAAATTTTTTATTTTGGCCGGCTGTGGGCCCCCTAAACGGCGTGGGCCCCCCCGCATTGCGGGGTCTGGCGGCACTGTAGTTCCGCCCCTGGTGTGGGGAGTGCAAACCGTACGAGTGACGACATCCAAGGATTCAAGTGGGTGACACCATCCACCATGGTGACACCATCTAACATGGTGATTCCATCTATGCAAAAACTGCAAAAATACAGCGAAAATGACATTTTAATTTGTTTTTACAACCCATTTTGGCGCACCTAAGGTCGGCGCCCGGGGCATATGTACCCCCCTGCCCCCCATCGCTACGCCTCTGGGTGACACCATCCAAGGGAGTGACACAATCCACCATGGTGATTCCATCCAAGGAGATGAAATCATCCAAGGGGGTGACACCAAACCGATACACTGCTAATTTTAACGAGAAACTCCTTTTTTCATAGTCAGTTTAAAAATCTATTAAGATTTTATACTTCTGTAGCTGCAATGCGACATTAGGGTTGGGGGTGCCACCAAATTCGGCGTCAGACAACCTAGTGACGCCACTGCCTCGAATCCTGACAGACACAAGTTCTCAAACATCAATTGTGTGACGCTTGCCCGTCGTACTTACCAACCCTTGCTTATCTTGGTTTTAATCTTGTTTCTCCCAAATTGCTTTTTTTTTTTTTAAATTTAAATTTGCTCGAAACTCGTACTTTGGTTATGGTAAATACGTCTAACCTATATTTATTCGTGAAATGTGTTACATATAAGTCACATGACTGAGTTTGAAAATAGTAGTGTCATGGGGGGGGGGAGGGTCGTGGGAGGGAGATGTGGTCGTTCTGTTGTGTCTGGAAGGTTAATGGGTAGGGGAGTGGCGCTGAATTGGTGGGTATTATTTTTCTCACCACAAAAAACAAAGTACTTTGGTCCTTATTGAATTGTGCTAAAGCTATATGAAATCACTGCCAACCCCCTCCCCTTTCTAATAAGTGTAGCTCTGCTTAAAGATAGACCTGCGACATTGCCAGAAACAGCTTCACATTTCTAAAGACAAAACAAAAAAAACGAAATTCTTTAAACCCATACATTCGACAGCAAAAGACAGGAGAAGCTAAGCCCGCCATTTTGAGGAACATCACACATTGGATGTTTGTTCTTCCTTACTTATCAGTTCAAGTGGAATAATATAGACGGCAATAAAAGCAAGAATAAATTCAAAAACATAAAAAAGGCATAAATATTGTTTTGGTTCATATATAAATAATAATCTTGCACTGTAAAGTACTGGGATTTGGTTACAAATATACATCTGGCTGTTTACTGATAAGATTGGTCATTCTAAAAACAAAACACAAAAAAGTACAATTTAAAGATGAAAATACTTTTAATAGAAGCATCAACATGTAATCACCATGGAAACTAGGCTTGTGATCCCAAACTGACACATTTTATACAAAATATTAAAAGACATTTTTAACATTGGTACTGACATAGTACAGGTGACTGGGCATAGTGCTGATCTATCCCTTCATATGCCGAGGTCAGGAAACATATACAACATCTGCCAAATGGATCGCTAGGTCTAAAGAGGAATATTTACTAGCGTAAATCGTTCATGAAATACATAATACCTGTACTCAAAATAAACTGAAAGTGTAGCATTACTACGTTCTTTTTTTTCTGCCTGACTTTGACAGTCGTTGATTCTCGACTGTGTCACACTCACCTTCTTAAAATCGACTACCACATTACTTTCTCGACATTCTGCACTTTTATCTTCGATTGTTAAATTTATAATTACGTTAACCATGCACTATTCATCATCAATATCATTTTTTTTTCGTTCGTGTCAGTGGCACATGAAGCCAGATGAAGTAGAGTTCATCTATTTCAATGACTTCCAGGGATAGTGTGGCCTTTGCTTTCATAATTCGAATCAGGTACCCAATAGAGCTGAGTGGACAAATGTAATACAAAATTAAAAGTTGATGATACACAGTGGCGTTACTAGGTCGGGGGTCACCCACACCTCCTCCAACACGTGTGTATGTCCAGTTTGGTGTCACCCCATAGGGACTGGTAAGTAGGTCACCAACCAGTTCTATGGCTCATGCAGGTTTTATTGAGCCGTAGAACTGGTTGGTGACCTACTTACCAGCCCTATATTCACAACTATTTCATTATTTTAACATGATAAAACGAGCTTAATCAGCTGCATTCTACATCAGTTGTGACACCACAATAAAACGGTTAAGGAAAAGTGACTGGTAAATACGCCCCAATCATTCCTAATTGAAGAAGGGAGAGGGGGCTTTTTCACCAACGTGAATAAATACATATAACGGGGGGGGGGGGGGGAGGAGGGGGGGGGCGCAAAATTGAAAGTGTGCCCCGGGTAACGGAATAGCTCACTATGCCTCTGCTAACGATGGCTCGTAAACTATTCCCACAGTAGAATTTTTACTCTGTTAAAAAAAGCAACGAAAAAACACATCAAGACATCTATAAATGGAGCGATGAGTAAGAAGATTTTAACATACTAAACAGGATTGAAATACCAGTGGTGCGTTGAGACACAAATTTAATTTGTTACTAAAGCTTGCTCGTGTACTATTAAAACACATTTTCTCCAAAATTGAAATGTCATTACTCCGTTCCGGCCCAATAAATGCCATCCCAGTTTTCTATAAGGTCTTGTGATTTACCCGATGTCAGTTGACTGTGGGGATATGTTGGATTATTGTTCCTGATTCACCCCAATTGGGACAAGGGCGTTAACGCTGTTGATAACTTGGATTATTGTTCCTGATTCAGAGATCTCAGAATTGGACCAAGGGCGTTAATTCTGGTGATAAGTTGGATTATTGTTCCTAATTTTCGCAACGAGGTTGAATTTACTGGAAAAAAAAACATACTTTTAATAACAACACAATTATTGTAAAAACAAAATCATAGTTATTTCATTTATACATACTTTATTTTACATATATTAGTGAAACGCAATGATAATTTTCACACTTGCTTGTAATATTCTTAATTTTAGCCAATTTATATATCATTGCAATTTATAGCTGCCATATTTTTATTTCTAGAACTTTTATATTCCAGTTTTAAACATCTTTTTTACAATGCTTCAACTTTCTTGAAATATATTCTACTCAATTTTATTTCAAGATTCGTTTAAAAGAATTGTCCAAGTTACTTTGGGGAAATACTAAGGAGAATTAAAAGAACTGCCCAAGTTACATGAGATAAAAAAAACTAAGAGAATAATAGAGGCACCAGGAAAAGAGATGTCATTATCAAGTGCCGTTAGTTGTTATCTCAACCAAATCTCGTTTCATACAAATCATATTGTCGTGGGGTTTTCTGTTATATTGTAGTTCATTAGTTGTTTTTTTTTTCAAAATCAACAATGTAATACTATATCTTTAGATTAAATTTTACAAATGCTTAGTATTATGTATCCAATATGCATGACTATAATGGTGATTTATAATTTAAAAAATGTTTTGTATGCTAGATTCGTGAATTGTTTTGTAGTAAGTCTTGTTTAATCTAATGGATATTGTAACATTTGTGTGTATATGTGGGTGTGGTGTTTTTTCCCCTGAAATTGTTATTACACCGCTGTATATAAATAGACATCTTCGTGTAAACTACACACGCTTTTTGTAACCAGAGAACGGGATGGGGTGGGGTTTAAGTATAAACAAAGTAAATTGTCGGAATACTTTTGTTTCATCAACAACACAGTAGATGTTAAACAATGGCAATACTATATGGTCAGTGGCAATACTACTAGGTCAGTGGCAATACTACTTGGTCAGTGGCAATACTACTTGGTCAGTGGCAATACTAGATGGTCAGAGGCAATACTATATTCGCAGTGGCTGTATTACATGGTCAGAGGCAATACTACGATGACAGTGGCAATACTACACTGGCACTGAAAATACTACATGGTCAGTGGCAATACTACACTGACAGTGGCAATACTAAAATAACAGTGGCAATATTACATGGTCAGTGGCAACACTACACTGACAGTGGCAATACTACATGGTCAGTGGCAATATTACATGGTCAGAGGCAATACTACAATGACAGTGGCAATACTACATTGTCAGTGGCAATACTACATTGTCAGTGGCAATACTACATTGTCAGTGGCAATACTACACTGTCAGTGGCAATACTACATTGTCAGTGGCAATACTACATTGTCAGTGGTAATACTACATTGTCGGTGGCAATACTACATTGTCAGTGGTTATACTACATTGTCAGTGGCAATACTACATTGTCAGTGGTAATACTACATTGTCAGTGGTAATACTACATTGTCAGTGGCAATACTACATTGTCAGTGGTAATACTACATTGTCAGTGGTAATACTACATTGTCAGTGGCAATACTACATTGTCAGTGGTAATACTACATTGTCAGTGGTAATACTACATTGTCAGTGGCAATACTACATTGTCAGTGGTAATACTACACTTGTCACAATGTACAAGATAATGTTAAACCACAGCAAAAATTCAGTTAAAAAAAATAACATTTTAAAATTGTGCTTCGCAAAAGTCAGCCCCCCCCCCCCTCTCCAGAATTAAAAAATTAGATGAGCTTGTTATATGTTTTAATTAACATTTAATTACAATTTAATTTTAATTACAATTAGTCGTCTTGGTAGCGTCCATTATAATTGAATGTTTTTTTCCATTTGCCTAACAATAACAATCTATAAATAGAAACTTCCGTGCACGTGACACATGGTTTGCGCAACTTAAACCCAGGGTGGGGTTCTGAACAAAGTTGTTGGTGACAAATGACAAATGACACGTACAAATGAACAAAATATGAATCTCTACCAGACAGAGAATTCCCTTAACTCAACAGGCCGTAAAAACAGTATGGCGTCTTACATTGTGAAATCTGATACAATTGTTTTTTTTTTTTTTTACAATTTTGTATTTTGTGTTTCTCTACAATTTGGGTTAAGGCCTAATTATGTTGTACTAGGGGTGAGGATGGCTAGAATGGGGGTGGGGCGGAGGAGGGAGGGGGGTTAAGGTTACTTGTCGTGCCCGTGTGTTCGTGTATGCAAGGAGAAAAAAAAGGGGGGGGGGGAGGGTAATGACACTGTTTGGTGGTGGGAGAGGAGGAAGAGTTAAAGAACACATGTAGTGTCTGGGTGTCGGGGGGTAGGGGGGGGGGGGTAGGGAAGGATGGTCGGGGTAGGGAGCACATATAATGACCGGAATGTGTGGGGAGTGAGAATTTAAGTAAGTAAAATTAGACGTGGTTAAGAAACATTAACTCTACTTCATCTGCCTCAATGCACCATCATTGCCCAAAAAGGTTAGTTACCTACTAACTGGGAAGAAGACTAAAAGTTTGAGGTCACACCAAGTGACTGTGTGTGTGGGGGGGGGGGGGCTCTGGAATTTTAAAACACGATTGTCTTAGACTTGATGAGCCTTCTGTGTCATGCATGGCGGTCCCCCCAGAGAAATAAATTAACTTCCAACTAACTCCATGCCCAGCAAAGCGGAACCAGTAAAAAAAAAAAGATCCGTGCAATAGTGAGAAAAAAAAACCGACACGGGGTACAAAAAATATCAGTTTCGTAAATCCTCCATAGTTAACGGTTCTCACTACAGCGTAAAGGGATTTTGAATATCATCCGTTATATTGCTATATTTAGTAACTGTATTACTGAATACAAATTTAAGGACCATCGGTTAAGCCCAAGTCAGATATTATTGTGGCTTTATAAACAGGAGGGTTAGTATAAAATGTGAACATTTAGTTAGAGGATCACGTTACTAAGCTTTTAATAGGCCGGTATATAAGTCGACATTTTGTCTGCTGGTTTATCTAGTCTAGCTAGCTGACCGCTTGGCTTTCATCTCAAAACTACTGGCATTTATAATTGTTTATAGACAATAGGACTATTCTAATGCATATCTAGGGGGATATGCTCCTTTCGGTAAGTAGTTTGTTTTGATAGATGCATGCATACACACACACACACACACACACACACACACACACACACACACACACACACATACATACATACATACATATATATATATATATATATATATATATATATATATATATATATATATATATATATATATATATATATATATATACACACACAAATATAACATATATATATATGGTCCACGGGGCAGACGAAGTAGAGTTTACCAGTTTCTATAACCTCTGCCTATGGATATAGTGTAATCAGCACTATGCCCAGCCGCCTTTACTTTACCTAACGTGAGTTAACTACCCATCAGAGCTGGGTGGACTCAAGGACATTCTACGGACTTGAACCTGGATTCGCCGTCCCAGCCTGCAACGCAGTGCATGCCGGGTATTTGACCTCGGCCTCGAGTCTGTAGAACGTCCCTGAGTCCATCAAGATCTGATGGGTATCTGACACACATTAGGGAAACTAAAGGCAGCTGTGCATAGCTGACCACAATATCCCTTTTTTTGCCGGGGTTATTGAAACAGATGAACTCTACTTCATCTACCCCGCATGACTTGGGCACGAAGGTGTAGATGAGAGTTCACCTAGCTAACTTACCGTATTAGCCGGCATATATCAAACCTCCATTTTTAAATTACACATTGACAACGTTTGATCACTCTACCATGAGTACTAAACCTACGCCATATTTTAGGCTATTATTATGGTTCATTTCTCCACCACGCAGCTATCCCATCAATATTTAGCATCTTTCTCAACAGATTCCGCGAAGCATGAGGTCAACAACAATGTCACGTGCAGAGAGCCTTATCGTGGTGTTTGTGGTAATCACTCTATGCCGGCCAGGTACGCTTTTGTTCTTATCGTCTGCTAGTTCAATTTTTGCAAATTGTTTAACTTTTTCAACTTTTCTTATAACCTAAATGATTAAAAATTATAGTAAATGCAATCAATCGAATGTATTTTACCCATATCTTGCTTTTTTTTTCTATCAGCAACAACACAGACTTCATCTTTTGGTATAGACTCAACAGACGCTAGTCAAAGCTTTGATGGTACCGAGATACAGACCTCTGTTCCAGGTACGGATGCAACAAAACTGTCATCCGACCCAGAACAAGTTGCAACAATACAGACATCAGTCCCCGAACAAGTTGCAACAATACAGACATCTGTTCCAGAACAAGTTGCAACAATACAGACATCTGTTCCAGAACAAGTTGCAACAATACAAATATCAACTTCTGATATTGTTGGATCAAGACATACATCTATTCCAGAACAAGTTGAAACAGTACAGACCGCTATTCCAGAACAGGTTGCCACAATACAAACATCTGTTCCAGAACAAGTTGCAACAATACAGACATCTGTTCCAGAACAATTTGCAACAATAATGACATCAGTCCAAGAACAAGTTGCAACAGTAATGACATCAGTCCCAAAACAAGTTGCAACAGTAATGACATCAGTCCCAGAACAAGTTGCAACAATACAAACATCTGTTCCAGAACAAGTTGCAACAATACAAACATCTGTTCCAGAACAAGTTGCAACAGTAATGACATCAGTCCCAGAACAAGTTGCAACAGTAATGACATCAGTCCCAGAACAAGTTGCAACAATACAGACATCTGTCCCAGAACAAGTAGCAACAATACAAACATCTGTTCCAGAACAAGTTGCAACAATAATGACATCAGTCCCAGAACAAGTTGCAACAGTAATGACATCTGTTCCAAAACAAGTTGCAACAGTACAAACATCAGTCCCAGAACAAGTTGCAACAATACAAACATCTGTTCCAGAACAAGTTGCAACTGTAATGACATCAGTCCCAGAACAAGTTGCAACAATACAAATATCTGTTCCAGAACAAGGTGCAACATTAATGACATCAGTCCCAGAACAATTTGCAACAATACAGACATCTGTCCCAGAACAAGTTGCAACAATACAAACATCTGTTCCAGAACAAGTTGCAACAATACAAACATCTGTTCTAGAACAAGTTGCAACAGTAATGACATCAGTCCCAGAACAAGTTGCAACAATACAAACATCAGTCCCAGAACAAGTTGCAACAGTAATGACATCAGTCCCAGAACAAGTTGCAACAATACAGACATCTGTTCCAGAACAAGTTGCAACAATACAAACATCTGTCCCAGAACAAGTTGCAACAGTAATGACATCAGTACCAGAACAAATTGCAACAATACAAACATCTGTTCCAGAACAAGTTGCAACAGTAATGACATCAGTCCCAGAACAAGTTGCAACAATACAGACATCTGTCCCAGAACAAGTAGCAACAATACAAACATCTGTTCCAGAACAAGTTGCAACAATAATGACATCAGTCCCAGAACAAGTTGCAACAGTAATGACATCTGTTCCAAAACAAGTTGCAACAGTACAAACATCAGTCCCAGAACAAGTTGCAACAATACAAACATCTGTTCCAGAACAAGTTGCAACTGTAATGACATCAGTCCCAGAACAAGTTGCAACAATACAAATATCTGTTCCAGAACAAGGTGCAACATTAATGACATCAGTCCCAGAACAATTTGCAACAATACAGACATCTGTCCCAGAACAAGTTGCAACAATACAAACATCTGTTCCAGAACAAGTTGCAACAATACAAACATCTGTTCTAGAACAAGTTGCAACAGTAATGACATCAGTCCCAGAACAAGTTGCAACAATACAAACATCAGTCCCAGAACAAGTTGCAACAGTAATGACATCAGTCCCAGAACAAGTTGCAACAATACAGACATCTGTTCCAGAACAAGTTGCAACAATACAAACATCTGTCCCAGAACAAGTTGCAACAGTAATGACATCAGTACCAGAACAAATTGCAACAATACAAACATCTGTTCCAGAACAAGTTGCAACAGTAATGACATCAGTACCAGAACAAGTTGCAACAGTAATGACATCAGTCCCAGAACAAGTTGCAACAATACAAACATCTGTCCCAGAACAAGTTGCAACAGTAATGACATCAGTCCCAGAACAAGTTGCAACAATACAGACATCTGTCCCAGAAAAAGTAGCAACAATACAAACATCTGTTCCAGAACAAGTTGCAACAATAATGACATCAGTCCCAGAACAAGTTGCAACAGTAATGACATCTGTTCCAAAACAAGTTGCAACAATACAAACATCTGTTCCAGAACAAGTTGCAACAGTAATGACATCAGTCCCAGAACAAGTTGCAACAGTAATGACATCAGTCCCAGAACAAGTTGCAACAGAAATTACATCAGTCCCAGAACAAGTTGCAACAGTAATGACATCAGTCCCAGAACAAGTTGCAACAATACAAACATCTGTCCCAGAACAAGTTGCAACAGTAATGACATCAGTCCCAGAACAAGTTGCAACAATACAAGTATCTGCTCCAGAACAAGTTGCAACAAAAATGACATCAGTCCCAGAACAAGTTGCAACAGTAATTACTTCAGTCCCAGGTCAAGTTGCAACAAAACAAGTATCTGCTCCAGAACAAGTTGCAACAAAAATGACATCAGTTCCAGAACAAGATGCAACACTACTGACATCTGTTTCAGAACAAGTTGCAACAATGCAAACATCAACTTCTGATATTGTTGGCACAATACATACATCTGTTCCAGAACAAGTTGCAACAATACAAACATCTTTTGTAGAACAAATTGCAACAATACAAACATCTAGTTCTGATGTCGGTGCAACAATACACACCTCTGTTCCAGAACAATTTGCAACAATATTGACGTCAATCCCAGAACATGTTGCAACATTACATACATCTGTTCCAAATCAATTTTCAACAATACAAAGATCTACTTCTGATATTGTTGGCACAATACATACATCTCTTCCAGAACAAGTTGCAACATCACATACTAGCTCATCACAAGATGTGTCAAAATTCTCAAGTCTTTCTATGCAATCCGCCTTGCTATCATCAAATTATGAAACTTTTGCCACCTACATTGAGTTGAGTTATTCAACTTATGCCCAAACTTCCACACTAACAGTTCGATCAACTAGCATGTTACATTCGGAATCGTCTTCAACGTTTATCATGACGTCAGCTTCCGGCACGCCTTCCGTGCACTTTTCAACGCAGCCAGCGACACCGGAAGTGATCACCTCAACTGAGGTTAAAGCCACTAGTACTCTCATTTTTTCACAAACTTCCTCCATCTACTCGCAGAACACCTCTGACGTCACCCCAAGTACGACCTCTGACGTCACAACGACTCACCCCACCACACAACCAACAAAGACTACCACTGACTTTCGTGAGTAACTCGGTCCAGGCATTGCCACTTGCTATATTTGATAAAGTCTAAGCATTTTCACTCAAATATAAAAAAATCTTGATTTTATGAGAAAAAAATTATTACTTTAAGGACTAGATCTAGATCTATATATGCAATATATGGTGTATAAATAAAGACCAGTAGTTCAAAACCAGGGTTCTAGGGGTTTAATGAGTCAGTCTCAAGACACACACACACAACTCATGTGATTCACTGTCGGATTTTGGAGCCCCCCCGCCCCCCCCCCCCCCCAAAAAAAAAACCAACGTCTACAGCCCCATCCCCCCTTCACTCTAACGAAATAGACTTTATACAGAAAATACATCCTTTACCAGTGTCCACACCCCACCCCCCCTGGAAATTTTAGTATGTATCTATATATATAATTCTCTTCTTCGAGCCGTTAGAAAACAAGCTGCAAACGCTCTCCCTACCTCCCCACCCCTACATGGTTTTAGTGAGCTGTGTTCACTCTAAATGTTTACAAGCAGAGCCAACGATTTTAAACGTAGGGGGGGGGGGGGAGGGGGGAGGGGGGGGGAGGGGGGGGGGAATGGGGGTTTAGTGTTTTAAAGCAAATATTTTCAGTGGCAGCATTGGTTCTGTCGAATTCACAAATTATGACTTACTGAAAAGTAGAAAAAACAACAACTAAATAGCGGCGTATGTTATGCCGCGGGCCGGCTCGTATATAGATAAATAAATAAATAAAATAAAAAAAAATAAATAAATAAATAAAAAATATAGGGCCTATATATATATATATATATATATATATATATATATATATATATATATATATATATATATGCCTAAAATATGTACATAAGCCAATAAAAGCCTCAAAGGCTTTTTAAGGCCAGGCTTTATATGTGTATGCCTAAAGTACAAGAAATATCTATATATTGTTTTGTAGACTGCAATTTTTATCTGCTATTTTATCCACTATTTTTATCATTGTCTTTCAGCTTCGTCTGAACAAAGGAGTAAGTAACATATAATTAATTTAATTAGACAGTGTTACCTATTTTAAATTTTTTTAAAATGTAATCAACTGTCAATTAGACAGTGTTACATATTTTTAAAAATTAAATGTAATCAACTATTTTGTTAGGCATCCTTTTAAATTTTCACATACTCATATAGACTTGCTCATCGCAAGGTTTGGGTTTTGAGCATTCTTGTGTGGGATGGTTAACTTATAGGTAGACTTAATGCCTAAGATATGTATTAGCATAATAAGCATAATAAGCATAATAAGCATTAATTAGGCCTATAGAAGTCAGTTTGCTTTCAATGTGACACTGCATCACCTTTCTCTTTCAGCATTTTACCGCTATGGCCTTGCATATGGTGACAGGAAATTGAACCTCGAGTGGGGGGCACTCAGTGAGGCCATTTACTTCAGCACAGGTGTTCCGTTTGGTCCAGATCTCAAGTACTTTGGTCACGTAGGTCAATGTGTTATTTTTTTTGTTCAGATCTCAAGTACTTTGCTCACGTAGGTCAATGTGTTTTTTTTTGTGACGTTATACACACTAATTAATTTTTAAAACAAGTTTTATTTTTTTCCAAATAAAAAAAGTAGCTTTCCTTGTCCTTGACTGTTATCATCAAATTTATTCCAGTTTTAATTTTTTTCATAATTTAAAAAAAAATTTAAATTTAAATTAAAGTGGAGGTGTGATAGCCTATTTAATTTAGACCAGTGATTAAACTGAATAAAATTATTAATTTAAAATTTAAGTCTTCTGTGTTTATTTCCTCTATTCATTTGATTTATTTATGTATATAATATATACTTGATGGTTCTATAAGCAAACAATTGAAGTTCACGTGAACGCAACTATTCAATTAATGTCTAAATGTCTTCACACCCTCAGGTTTCTATTGACGGAGCCATCACATTTGGGGAGCCATGGAGACTGCCTAACCCTGACCTTGAATTTGCCTATTCTCGAGGCCTCTCCATTCTGTCACCCTTCTGGTCGTACGTAGATCCGTACAATGAGAGAACGGAAGTGTTCTACCACCTGTACGAGGCTGTTAGAACAACTGGCACCAACTTCTCCTCACCATTATTGATGGATGTTCTAGACAGAGCTTCTAGTGATGTTAGTTGTTTTTTTATTCCACATGAAAAAATTATTTGTTCACATCTTTTTTTTGTAGGTTACATTTAATGACTATGACTAAATGTCAGTAATTTTTATAATTCCAACTTGTTTTTACACCTTCACAAAATGTTTTTCACTAAGAGCTTCTTTAGAACAAATTATATTTTAAAAATCTAGCACAAGAAACCTAGCAGAAAATATAGGCATTTGCTTACATGGCTGATATTTTGAACTAGATGAACACAAATCATTTTCAAGTACAAAAACTTGAATACTTAACTAACATGTTATATTGTGTTTATTATACTTAGTTAAAGTTTTATTATATCTACTTTTCTTTTATGCCCTAAAAAAAATTTCTTTTTATGAATAGGGAAAATTTATATAGAAAGTTTTTTTTTTAAATTTAAAAAAAACAAACAATTGATTGACATTGTGTGTTAGATTTTAAATGCCCGTGATTGGCCTAGGTATTGTGTCTATAAAAAAAAATGGCAAGGTAAAAAAATAGTGTTTCTTATTTATAAACAATTGGCCAACCAAAAATAAGCAAGCAATGTATTTTTTTTGTAAAGAGACATGAGCAATGAATGTAACTATTGTAACTCCCAGGTTAGAGAGTTCTACCATGGAGCAGACACAAGGTACTTCAATGCCACAACTGTTCTGGTGGTGACGTGGGTGGATGTCAAGCCTTATTCCTGGTACTCCTGGTACTGTCTGAACAAGCAGGACCCTAAGAGTCACAAAGTACAGTCCTATTGCAACTCACAGGTAACACAATCTTTGTCTATCATATTAAAGTTTTTTTTATATATACATGATTCAATATGTATTCTTTTAACTGAGTTACTGGCCTTTATTTGAGTGTTTACCATGTGAATGAGTTACTGGCCTTTATTTGAGTGTTTACCATGTGAATGAGTTGCTGGCCTTTATTTGAGTGTTTACCATGTGAGTGAGTTACTGGCCTTAATTTGAATTTTTACCATGTGAGTGAGTTAATGAGTACAAGACCATGTTGTGTCTTGGCTAAGATCCTTGTGATTAAATCTTGTAGGCTAACTTGAGAGGTTCAAACAGGTTTTAAGTCATTACTCTAAGAAGAGACAATGTTAGCAGGCTTATTAATGAGAATATAAAACCAGAGTCCTGCAAACCTAGACAGTTTATAGTTGTATGTTTTACAGGATGAAATTCTGGCAGTGAGAATACTTTCAAGATTTGCTCCTTTAAAAAAATAACTGACATTGAGATTTATATTGTACATTAAGTAATGGAAAAATAGTTAACTATAAAATTAATCCACATTATTACCTCCCTTTAAAATTGCAGGCAGAGACCAATACGTTTCAAAGTGTTTATGTGACGGATGGTGAAACTGGATACGTTATCACAATCTATCAGGCTGGAGGAATGCGCTGGAAGTTTGATAAAAACAGACCGGTTGCCGTGGGGTTTGTGACTAAAGAGAAGAAAAAAGATTACGGTGCGACAAAGTCAAAGTTTTCCACAGCTCTGGGCACTGTGATTGGCAATACAGGTCAGATTTGTTTTCCTCTTTATGCCCCCAACTGGGACAGAAGAAGTGAGCTCTAATTTCACTTTGTTGCATCTAAATATTGAAATTTAACAGAGATTGTTTTATATTTTACTGGGGTTTTTCAGGGATTTAAAATCACTAAATAATTACAAAACTGTGAACAATGTACTCAATTACAGATTCAAGTTCTTCTTTATAAAATGTTAATTATTGATTCTTTGTTAACAATCTAAACTTGATATAGTTATAAGGCAAAATAAATAAATTAAATAAAATAAAAAGTAAGAACATCTGAATATCATTATAAATTATTTATAGCTTTTTAGAACATGAAATTAATTTTTTTTAACAATTTTTGTTCTTGAAATGATTTAGGCCTCGTAGGAACCTTCTTCGACCTGGTGGGTCAAACAGACAACCCAGCACAAAAATGTTCCAGTTTTTACACCAGGAATCAGTTCCTGCTGGGTGACTCTCAGTTCAAACAACACATCAGGCAGCTGTTTGACTGCCCGTGTACAATGGACAGGCTCGGCAGACAGTGGTGGCGTGTGGACACTAATCAAACTGACGATAAGATTTATTGTTACGCTATTTCACCCCTTCACATGGGTAAACTCTTTCCTGGGAATTATTTAAACAAGGTAACATGTCAAAGCAGAAAATACTTTTTTTAATTGTAAAACTCTTCATTGATAAATGTTTAAAAAGAGATTTACTATGTATAAAAAGTTATGTACAGTTCTACCACGGATAATAAAGAGGTGAAGTCAGCTTCATCAACTCATCTCCATTTTATCTGGGCAAATGTGGGCACGTTCTATGGGATTCTGAGAACTGAATTTCAGACTTTGATGTTTGCATTCTCTGTTCTAGCACTCAATATGCTGTTTATAATAAACTATATATATATATATATATATATATATATATATATATATATATATATATATATATATATATATATATATATATATATATATATATATATATATATATATATAAAATTCCAATAAATGAAATTCAGTGCTAAACTTTCTTTTATTCTTTGTTTGTTTTCATATATTTTTCTCCAGCTGTGTTGCTATTTATTTACTCCCCCACCTGGTAAACAACGACGGAACTGGAACCGGGCGAGACGCCAAGCTCCATACATCTCTGGTCAGATTCTCACACAGAACCCGTTTGAGGGATGGGGCGATGTGCGCAAGTATGTGGAAGAGGATTTGAACCCTCAGCAGTGGTGTTGTCAGCAGGCCAGCAAGGATTTCTGTGACCTTTACGGCCAGGTGAGGCCAGATCTGGGATGTTCGTCTGAGGCTGAGTACTTAACAGGTAAACACATTTTTTGTTTAAATAACGTGAAATGAGGTACTTAACAGGTGAACACGTTTTATGTTTAAATAATGTAAAATGAGGTACTTAACAGGTGAACACATTTTTTGTTTCAATAATGTGAAATGAGGCATTTAATTAATTGAATACATTTTTTGATTAAATAATGTGAAATGAGGTACTTAATTATGTGAATACATTTTTTGTTTAAATCATGCCAAAAGAGTTATTTAATTAAGTAAATACATTAATTTTTAAATAATGTGAGATTGAGTATTTAACAGTTTTTGTGTTTAAATAATATGAAATGAGGTACAAAATTAGGTAAACACATTTTTAAAAAAAATAATGAGATATATCACACTTTTTAATTTGAACAAATGTCTTTTAATACATTAATATGCATGAAAATATTTTCGAAGTTGTAATGAATTTCCAAAATTGATGTTACAGTTTTGGAAAAAAATAAATTAAAAAAAAATCTGTTTGATAATTAGAAATTTGTAAACAAGACTTGAGAAGGTTATGTATTAAGTGTTTATATTCACATCTGATCTTGTGTGCATTTAATAAAAAATATTATTTTTTTATCTAACTTTTAATACATTGGTAAAATGTGTAGTATGTTTTCTTCAATCTGCTGTAAAATAAGGTAAACGATTGGTGTGTAAATATTAACCACCTTAATTACAGTATGGTGTGCCACACACATCACAGCACTGTTGTAAAACTGTGAAAACGTGAAAACAATTTGTGTGTAAATACTAACGATCTTAATTAATTACAGCTACTTTCTGGGGTGACCCCCACATCACCACGCTGGACAACAAGAAGTACAGTCTGAATGGATGGTGTGAGTACACCCTGTTGGAGGTACCTGAAGCTCACCTGACCATCCAGGTGAGTGGACACTGTGGGTTGTTTACGTTGAGAGTTTGACATCCTGGGACTTAATCAACACTGGATTGTGTAGTTGTGTGGAAGTGTTTAATGACTGGCTTGAATGTTTGAAGCTTTATGAGTCTACCCAGGCAGAGTTTCTTCCAGGCATCTCAGAACAAAATGGAATTTGTATAGAAAATATATACTTTTGACAGTGTCCGCCACCCCCCCCCCCCCCCCCCTGAAAATTTCAAGTGCACCCCCGGAGAAAAAAGTCTGGAAGAAACACTGTACCAAGGCTTATTCAGTACCTGACTTAAAGGCAACTTACCTTGTATTGACTACATTTCCCTTTATGTTATGTGGTAGCAAAAAAAGGTTATTATTTCCTTTTCTGCTAAAGGAACCATCATGTCCAAAAATTGATTATTAACATAACATTTTTCTTTATAAGTGTTGTTTTAAATAGACATTCATTCTTTTTATTTTAACATTCTTTAATGCTGCATATTGTTCTAAGATTATTTATATATCAATGTATTGTACAAAGGGACATAACAATTGTAAGTTCTAATTTTATCTCTTCTTTCAGGTAAGGACTGACAGAGCTCTAAATATAAATGGGACATTGACCAACGCAACAGTTTTTGTGGCTTTAGCAGCAAGGGAGGGTAACTCTTCCCAGGTTCAAGTTGAGTTGTCTCTTAATAAAACTTGTGAGTTTGTCATTTTTAACTAAAGCTAATGAACAAAAATTTCAACTAGTAAATAAAATGCTTTATTTTAGTAATTAATGCGCAAACATCCTATGTAAATTAGTTTGTATTAGTAAATCACACAAAAAATTATAATTATTTACTAAATAGAACTAATATTTATATTAAGTTGCACTAAGGATTAATCCGAAAAATAATTCACATTTATCTGTAAACTTAGAAATAATATCATGTTTCCATATTGCTGTTAATTACACAAAAAGTAAAACCTATAATTTGCCTGATTTAAAATGTTAACTAGGTTTTAGAAAATGTGATGCATAAATTAAATTAATTTCACGTCTGATGGATTATGAAATTATTTCTACAGCCATGGTGATTCTTGTGGATAGCATGGATATCACAAAACAGTTTTATGCCTCAGAAACCTACAAGACCTTCATAGAAAACAGTTTTACACTGGAGCGAGACCAGAGCCTTGATGAAACAACTTTAATTATTGGATTTACTTCAGGTGGGTTTCCTGTTGAACTTTTTTAAAGTAATTCTTTTTATTAAAGGGTGAATTCTATTAGACTGCTGTAACTTAATATAACTTATTGCAAATTAACAACATGACAAATTTTATGTATTTTCTCATGAAAACAATTAACAAAGGTTTAGGCCAGAATTAGGGTAGTCTGCTCAAAATGTGTTTCAATAAAAAGTTTCTTTCAAAAAATTTTCTTTTAATAACAACCTTCTTTGTTTATCAGCAATAACTATTCTCCGACCATTCCATGTTTTTATTTACCTTAATTTCATCACCTGTTAGGTGTAAGCTTAAAAGTGTCCATGGGTGTCAGGTGTCTGGAGTTTTCTGTTGAGGCCAGTATAAGTCTGAAGGGGAAGTTGCATGGACTTCTGGGTAATTATAATGGTAATGTCACAGACGAGTTTACATTGCCAGATGGCACAGTGCTGACAGAGGCTGAAACCAACACAGAAAGAAAAATATTTGAAAACTTTGGCAAAAAATGTGAGTTATCACTGTAAATACATGTGTATGTTGTTAATGGACATGTATTGTTTAAATAGCAAAAAAAAATAGTGTCATAAATTTACTAACTCTATCATGCACCAATTTAATATGTTGTCAAAATGGCATCAATTTGTGCATATATTATATTAATTCACCTAATAAATCAAGTAAATTATTAAATGTAAAGTAACCACCCCCCATTTAGCCTTGGTGTCATCCCATAAATGGTGTCACCCTGTGTGGTTCACATTCTTTCCCTTGCTACGCCACTGATCTAATTTTTGCTGAAACTATTTCAGGGGAAGTAACTCCAAACAACACCATCTTCAAATATGGCCCTGGTGAAACTGCTGCTAACTATAGCCATCCAGAGTTTGTTCCCTTGTTCCGTGAGGACTTTGATGTGAAAAAACTGAGTGAAGCCGAAGCCTTCTGTGGGGAAGACGATGCGTGTACATTTGATTATCTGCTGACTGGGGACCCAGTGTTTGCCACCTACTCCAACAGCACAAGTCAAGAATCATCGGAAACTGCCCAAGCTCTCAGTAAAATCTTTTTTTTTTACTTTTATAAAGCCTAGTTTATGCAATGCAAAACTCCTTATCATTTAGATTTGAAAACATTCTGGTTTTGGGTGGGAAAACATGTTTGCTAACTCGAAAAGTTCTGAGTTCAGAACCCAGGCAGATGAGGCTTGTTAGCTGGGGACAGCAACACATGTAGGAGAGGAAACTCTAAAATCAAACAACAGCTGCTGTTTTGTAGTTTGTTCTTGGTTTGACAAGATCAAACAACTGCCTAGAATGTAATTGGGCGGACACAGGTTATGGAAGCAAATTCAGAAAGTAAAGCAGACTGAAGCCTTAGTCATATGGGACATAACATTTTGACACGTAAATGTGTTGGAGTAAGCCCCCTCCAATATTACAATTACAACAACAAAGGAGATGACATACAATCTAATTTTCTAAAAGCTCTATTGAGTAATCTTTAATAATGTCATTTATACAATATCACTTTCTGTTTTTTGAATACTAAAATAATTTTTTTAAACTTGAAATTATTTTCAACTACTTTTATTAGTGTTGTTTATTGGAACTTTTAAATATTTAAATAAAAAGTGACTTTTAAAAAACTATTAATAATACACATACTACAGATTCCAGCAATTTTTGTATTACATTAAGATATTATCCTCATGTCATGACTTTTTTTTGGTTCAATCAGTTCTTTAAAAATGTTTTTTTTTTAAGGAAACAATAACCCAAATTTAACCATTGCTGGTGGGCTGAATGATAACAACCAATGGGAAGTGACAGCTGGACGGAACAACTCCATCAAAGTGACAGCTTTTGATGCTGATGGAGACAATGTCACATTTTTTGTTCTTGATGACCCAGTTGGAGTAACAATTTTAAATGATGGAACAATTGTCTATGTTCCTGATGAGAACAACCCTGTGGTAATTCGGTAAGGCTTTTAATATTGGTTCATACTATGAATTTGTTCCATTAATTTAGTAAGGCTTTTAACATTGGTTCATACTAAGAATTTGTTCCATTAATTTAGTAAGGCTTTTAACATTGGTTCATACTAAGAATTTGTTCCATTAATTTAGTAAGGCTTTTAACATTGGTTCATACTAAGAATTTGTTCCATTAATTAAGTAAGGCTTTTAACATTGGTTCATACTAAGAATTTGTTCCATTAATTTAGTAAGGCTTTTAACATTGGTTCATACTAAGAATTTGTTCCATTAATTAAGCAAGGCTTTTAACATTGTTTTAATTATCTGCATTACAGAGTTTAAACAAAAACTTTTGTAATCTGTATCTCAGGATACAAGCAAAAGACAGCAAAGATGGCTACTCTAATGTGATCACGGTCAGCACCGCCATCTGCAGCAACTGTAGCGGACACGGAACTTGTAAGAAAGACTTGGCGGCAGTTAGCAGCCCTCTTTACACTGTCTACACCTGTCAATGTTTTCCTGCATTTACAGGTTGGTCAGCATTTGTCTTCCTAGAATTTTTTTATCAGAAATTTTTTTTTTTCAAATTTGAAAATGAATTAATTTAAATTCAAAAGCCTAGCATTCACAATTACTTTCTTTTATTAGATTTTAAAAAATTCATGGAACATGACATGATAAAAAATATTTTTTTAAACTTTCCTATGAAATTTATCCTGGGATTATTTTTATCTTTCATGTTTCTTTTTTGCAGTGAATGCAGTTGTTTATGGAGCAATTAAAACAAAATGTAACATATACAATATGTTATTACAGAATTAACTTAAATATGACAGATTTTTTAAACATCCCAACCTTTTTGTACCTTTTTTTTTTCACACTCCTAAAAACAGACACATAGATAAGACCAGAATTTATAAAATTACTTGTTTATATTTCTACAGAAATTTAAAAAATTACTCCAGATAAAAATCAAGAAACAATGAAAGCATTTTATTCCTACTGCTTGGATGGAAGCTGGCATCTTGCACTTTTCATGTTTATGTTGTTAATATTGTGTTGATATTATGTTGATATTTTGTTTATTATTTTTTATTTTGTTGATATTTTGTTTATAGGGAGCATCTGTAACCAGACCTACAACGCTTGTCGTGATGACCCATGCATGTTGGGGCAGGAGTGTTTTGACCTGACCCCTGATGAGCAAGGATTCAACACCACTGGCTACAGGTGTGGTGCCTGCCCCAGTGGGTATGAGATGGTTGGCGGAGTTTGTACAGGTAACTAAGTCTAAGAAAACAGTATCAGGTAACTGAATGTTAAGAGAATCTGTGTAAAGTGATTTAATTGCTTAGACAACATACTTGGGATGGGTTACTTTATAAGCCAGACAAAATATAGTTGGGTATAGCTGTGTTGATTTGTTTGTACTATTTATAAATCAGACAAAATATAGTTGGGTATAGCGTGTTGATTTGTTTGTACTATTTATAAATCAGACAAAATATAGTTGGATATAGCGTGTTGATTTGTTTGTACTATTTATAAACCACACAAAATATAGTTGTGTATAGTGTTGATTTGTTTGTACTATTTATAAACCAGACTAAATATAGTTGGGTATAGCTGTGTTGATTTGTTTGCACTATTTTCAAACCAGACAAAATATAGTTGGATATAGCGTGTTGATTTGTTTGTACTATTTTCAAACCAGACAAAATATAGTTGGATATAGCGTGTTGATTTGTTTGTACTATTTATAAACCAGACAAAATATAGTTGGATATAGTGTGTTGATTTGTTTGCACTATTTATAAATAAGACTAAATATAGTTGTTTTGATTTGTTTGTACTATTTATAAACCAGACATTAATGAATGTGATGGTGATTTGTTTGTACTATTTATAAACCAGACATTAATGAATGTGATGGTGATTTGTTTGTACTATTTATAAACCAGACATTAATGAATGTGATGGTGATTTGTTTGTACTATTTATAAACCAGACATTAATGAATGTGATGGTGATTTGTTTGTACTATTTATAAACCAGACATTAATGAATGTGATGGTGATTTGTTTGTACTATTTATAAACCAGACATTAATGAATGTGATGGTGATTTGTTTGTACTATTTATAAACCAGACATTAATGAATGTGATGGTGATTTGTTTGTACTATTTATAAACCAGACATTAATGAATGTGATGGTGATTTGTTTGTACTATTTATAAACCAGACATTAATGAATGTGATGGTGCCAACCTCTGCCAGCAGAACTGTACAAACACAGAGGGCGCCTATCTTTGTGAATGTAACCATGGTTACATACTTAACAAGGACAAAAAAACATGTGATGGTAAGAGCAGACACTTATTTTATTAGCACATTTTAGCCAAGTGTTGAGTAGAAGATTAAAGTGAAATTTTTAATACATTTTAAAAATATTTATTTAAAATTTATTAATTTTTTGTGTTTTATTAGTTAAGAATATAAGACTAATTCAACAACATTGCTTTACTTTTCAGCAATTTTTATTTTATATCTAAATTTTGAGTACACTTTAAAATTTTAAATCAAGAATAACAAAGTAAGGACAATTATATTATAACATACTCTGTGCACTGATTAATTAGAGAGAATTTTTGTTTTCAGATTTAACTAATTTGGTTATTGATTATAAAGATTAATTAATTAAAATATTCTACTCAGATATCAATGAATGTAATAGGGGCACTAGTCCCTGTGACCAGCTATGTGAGAACACTGTAGGCTCTTTTTCCTGTGGCTGCTTGTCTGGCTACACTCGTGTAAACAGTACACAGTGTGTACAAGGTTGGAAAATTGTTGCATTTTTTAACTTTTGAATGAGGAATCTAAAATTTTTTTTCAAAAGTTGTTTTAGCTCATACTAAATTTATTTAAATTTCAATTTCATCATCTTTTTCATTGTTTTATTTAATTATCCCACAAATTTTAAATTTCAACGTAGCTATTTTTTTTCTTTTGTAAAGAGGAATTTGCAAGGGACATTTGCAAGGGACATAATTGTTCACAACTTTGTCAGGTTGAGAATGGAACAGCCTCCTGTCAATGTTCCTCTGGGTTTGTTCTAGAAAAAAATGGAACAATTTGTCAAAGTGAGAGTTACAACATACTAATAATTTTAAAATCTTTGAGCCTTATGAAAGCTTTTTGTTTTAAAATTTATACCAAAATTATATTTTCAATATTTTGGTATTAAAGAAAGCAATGAGGTTATAATAACTAAACTCCCAATTTGTACTGGAACTGATTAGTTATTGTTTTAAAACGTGCAGATGTTAATGAGTGCAGTTCTGTGATTAAACCCTGTAGCCAGTTGTGTACAGACACAGATGGCGGATTTGTCTGCTCTTGCAATCCTGGCTACTTCCTGTTAGCTGATGGGGTCTCCTGCTTAGGTAGGTTACAAACAAACTTTGAAAATGACATTGTTCTATATTGGTCATTTTTGCACGTGTTAGCTTTAGAATTAATTTAAAAAGAAAAAATTGTTCTTTAAGATATGAGTGCATTGTTAGGATTATAATTCATTCACTATTTATAAGTTTTTTTTTATTACATTAAATCAACATAAATTAAATAAAATGATCTGTTTATATTAATTTGAGAAACATTAATGTATGATTATTCCAACAGCTTTTTTTTAAAAAATCAATTCCTGATTTATTTCTTAAACAATATGATTTAAAAGAATTTATTCATAAAATATTTTTGTTTATAAGAGCTCCATGTCACATGTATTTCCATTGGTCAGAATGTGAAGAGTCAACGTATGGGCTAAACTGTACCAGCCAATGTCAGTGTAGTGGAGAAGAGGTGTGTGACCGTGTCAAGGGGTGTGTCTGCAACAGCGGCTGGGAGGGAACAGGCTGTAACATTGACATTGACGAATGTGCCAGGAAGACGTACAGCTGTAAGAGTGGCGAGGAGTGTCGTAACACACCAGGCAGCTACACGTGCAGGTGTCCTGATGGGTACAGGAGTGTGAATGACACCTGTCAAGGTAAATCATTTAACACCTGTAAACATGTCACATTTTTACCATTTATTTGTGGGAAGACATGGTTGAGTGGTAGCAGCGGTGTAGCAAGCTTGGTACATTTGGTGCGGACCACATAAGACATTGGGGTTAAGTCACCAAACTCATTTGTTTTCATTTATTTTGGGGGCATCAATGGCAGGCTTACACCAGACAACACACTACCTTAAAGTCTGGGTAAGTCATGAAAAGTGGGAATTTGGTGGTATTGCGCTGACCACTCAGTCTATTCCACCAAGCTTTAATTGATCTGCCCTGTAAGCTCAGAAGTCTAAACGAGTGCTGGATTACTGCACCTGGAAAAGTTGTTGATATTCTTAAAATAAGATTTGATAACCTTTTTATTGTTCTTTAACTTTATTCATTTAATGAAGTAAACAACCAGATATTATACTTTGAAGTCTGAAACAATAAAGAATCTAACTTAAAATATTAAAATCTTTTAGATTTCCTATTGTAAAGTTAAAAATTCTTCAGCGTGTGATTAATATGGAACATGAAAAAGAGTTCACCTCTTTAACCCTTTATTTACAGAATTAGGTTCTGAATGCAATTATTTCTTGAGCAATGTGTTGCTTCTTTTACTTTGGATGAAACATATTTTTTTAAAATTTAGATATTGCGCAAATTACTTTTAAAATATTATTAGAGGGATCCTTTTTTTAAAAAAAACTTTTTAAATTCTTATCCTAAATTTTATAACAATGGAAGATAATTATTTATATGTAGGCAAGGGGTTATTTAGTATTAACTTTTATAATTATTTTAAAAATTATAAATATATATTTGGTTGTCTCCCCTAGCATTTTTACTATAACATAGCTATAGAATATAACTATTCTATAACTATAATTATTTTAGGCTTCTGGTTCATCTAAATAAAATTTGAAATTTCAGAGTGTCCTCCCTTTTTCTTTGGAGAGTTCTGTTCCCAGCCATGTGGCTGCAGCCAGTCTAATGCCATATCCTGTAACCATAGTAACGGCTCCTGCCAGTGCAAGCGCCCCTGGGGTGGGGCGGAGTGCAAAACTGACGTGGATGAGTGTCTGGACAGCAGCATGTTCAACTGTTCGGCTGACACGGAGTGCCAGAACACATATGGCAGTTACGAGTGTGTGTGTAGACACGGCTACACAAAGAACCAGACCTCGGGCCTGTGTGAAGGTGGGTTGTGTTGTGTGTGTATATGTTGTGTGTTGTGTTGTGTGTGTATATGTTGTGTGTTGAGTTGTGTGTGTATATGTTGTGTGTTGTGTTGTGTGTGTATATGTTGTGTGTGTATATGTTGTGTGTTGTCGTGTGTGTGTTATGTGTCTGTGTTACTGCTTTATATGTATATTATGTTAATTGATTAAATTTACCATGCTTAGTCCATTTAGTGAAGAATAACTGCTATGAAATAAAGTGCTTTAAATTCATCAGTTGGGCTCAGAGCTAAGACATGACTTAGGTGTAAGGCTATTATATTGTTACCAGTGAAATTAGTTATAGTCGGTATGATTATAAGCTATGACTTTATTTTTGTCATTCCCCCCCCCCCCCCCCACAGCCTGTACTTGCAACATGACCAACACAGTAACCTGTGACCGGGGAAGTGGTCAGTGCACCTGCAGCAGCAACTGGACAGGCCAGACCTGTAACGAAGACGTGGACGAATGTTTGACCTCCCCCTGCCCTGCTAACATCAAGTGTGTCAACACCCTCGGAGGCTTCATGTGTCAGTGTGAGGGCGGGATGTACCAAAATTCTCAAGGAAACTGTGCTGGTACAGTCTTGTTTGAAAACTTGGTTAAATTATGTTAATTGTTTTGTAAGGTTTTGTGGTAATTCATATTAATTTATTGAATATCTTATTCATTGTGGATTGATTTATTGTAATTTTAAAATATCTAGTTTATGGCATTATTAAATTGATTTATCAAAATATTCTAAAAACCAATTTACTGTTTCTGTGGAATTATTTATTGGAAATTATCAAATATAAAATGGTAAATGGAGCTTTGATAGGTCAAAGCATCTAAAAAATATATAATGTAATTTTTCTAAAGCTTTAAAAAGTTTAACTGGTTTATCAAAAATGAAATACAATGTAGTTATAAAATTGTTGGTACATGTTTTTATTTTTTTAACAAAATATTTTTTTCAGCACTGAGATCAATCCCAGTAAAAATTAAATATGACTTTGATGTGTCAGGGATGAACCTGTCCAATGTCAGTGGCCCTGACTTTGTCAGGCTAAAGTCATTACTAGAGCTTAAGGTAAGTCAGTTATTATTTGTTATTATTTGTATAAAACAAGCATAGCTGACATTATAATTAATTTGTATGTTTATTAGAATAAATAATAAAAAATTATCTGTAAAATATAAAATATAAATTTAACTTTGTCTCCTTATGAAACAAGTAAGATGATTGGTTATCAAAACAAACTGTTTGTTTTTGCACTATAATTCATCTTTTGACACATTTTTAATGTATAAACATTGCAGACTATTTTATTACATTTTTAAATTTTAAAAATTCTGTTGTGAAATTATGGGAATATTTCAAAAGTTTTAAGCATGTTAGGCAACTCTTGACAAAATTATGTTATTATTGCCCTTTCAGTTAAAAGAAGTTTTCAGTAAAAAGATTAAAGGACATCTGAAAATTGAAATTTTGGGACTCAGGTAAGCTGGGTTAATGTTTGAAATATTTTTACTAGTTCAGAGTAAGTCATCATATCTCAGCAATTTACGGATCAAAATGGGATGACAGACTACGTTATTCCATTGTACATTTTTTTCTTCAGAGCTGGTAGTCTTGATGTGGAGTTCGTGATCATTGTAGCGTCTTCTAACACAGTGTCTGATGATGTTAGCCTAACATTGTACCAACTGGCAACTGAATCATACCAGCTGGATGGCCAGAATGTCACTGTTTTATCTGTACAGGTCAACACAACACAATGTAAGTTTCATACATTGTTTTTGATAGGTCAAGGGATAATATAAAAATGTTTGTGTTTTTGAACTTATTTGTACTTTAAATTTATGAACACAAAACAGCAACATTTTTAACCAGAAGAAAATTTCAGTATTCATACTAAATTTTTAACAGGGTCTACATTAAACAAACATGTAAATATGTTAATAATGGATACAAATTTATTTTAACTTAAATAGGCCCTACTTATTTAAAACGTAATAATAATCATCTATTTGTGTTTGTAAAACAAGTTTTCTGTAGACTAAATTAAAATAACTGATCGATTTATCATGAATACATTTTAATCTTACTTATGTATCTTAATCATCAAAACTTTACCAGTAAGCTAATGTTTTAATGAATTATATATCAATATCTTGCACTAGGTTAACCTAAATCAAATGTCCATATCTTTAAACAGTTTCCTTCAACACAACTCTGTGTGAGAAAAGGTTACTCATTGATCCTTGCCCATCAACAAGTCAATGCTTTGAAGAAAATAAATCAACACGTTGCATGTAAGATTTTTAGTGTTTTCAAAACATTTTCTTTTCTAGAACCATACAAAACAAATTTTAAAATACCAACTGAAATATTCAAGGAAATATTTTAAAAAAAAATAGCAGCTTAAAAAAATCTCCAAAAAAAAAGGTATTTAAATTAAAATGTATTAACGCAAATTTTAATTGTTTTAAAAAAAATGGGAAAGTACTACTAGTATAAGTTAACTTTTAGAAATATAGCTTGATATTAGCCAATAATGATTTTCTATGTTTACTGTAAACTTATTTTTTTATATTAAAAATGTAGCTTCATATAACTTTGTTATAACTTTGTTATTAGCCAACTCTATAATCTGTTTAATTTTCAAGGAATTTTTCAATTTAATTAAAACATGTACATCATTCAAACAAATGTTAAAATAAAGGTTAAATAATATTTTTAAAATGTACATCATTCAAACAAATGTTAAAATAAAAGTTAAATAATATTTTAAATATTTACATCATTCAAACAAATGTTAAAATAAAAGTTAAATAATATTTTAAACATTTCTGATCCTCAGCTCAAAATCAGAGGGTAAGCTTACTTTAAACATTTTGTCCTGTTAATTTTTTCTTTATTATTTCTGATCAATGGGTCATTCATAATTAATGTCACATATGGGTTGGGGGCTGAATTTAGTTACATACATTTAAAAAAATAAGATAAAAACAAGTTTTATTTTGGTTAGAGTTTTGGTTATTACAGATGGAGTTTTAATTACGTGGGGGAGGAAAAGAGAGAAGTATACCATTTTTTAGAGCAATAGTGGAGGGGTAAAAAAGATTGTGAGAATAGCATGATGTCATGTTAAACCTAAAGCTGATCTCATGGCAGTTTTTTCTTCATTTTTTTCAGCTGTTGTGTATGGATTTGACATGAAGTTGAGCACTGACAATCTCAATCAAAACCTAGACCTGACTGATGAAAATAGTGAGCAGTACATCAGTCTGAGGCTGAACTTGACCCAGCAGGTAGGCCTGAATCTTATCTACCTGTACAACAGTAGGTGCACCTGTTTTACCTGTCACCAGATGCAAATGTAGAGCAGAACTACAGCAGTCTGACTAAATATGTACAGTAAAGGCATGGCTAATCTACATCTAATTTAATTCACTTGGTGTGGGATTCCCATCATTTCCTAAGATGCTGTAAAGATCAGTCTTGTAGGCAGGGAGGGGATTTAGTTAATTAAATGTAAATGGTGTGCTTCTGTCAATTTCAATCCTTCTATTTTCAATATAGCAAATATCCTGTCCATACTACTGTTGAAGATTATATGATATTATTTTTATATCCCCAGCTGACATTAAGGCTGAATGAATCTTTGCCTGGTCTAACTACATCAATAACAAAACTGAGGTGAGATTTTGTTTCCTCCATGATATATCAGAGTAAAAGGTCTCAGGGTTAGACTGTAAGTGTCCAAGAGACTCAAGAAATTTTAAAAGGAGCCCCCAACCCCAGATTAAAATTTTCATTGTGCATTTTTCTCTATCAAAGCCTGAATTATGTGCCTTGGAATGAAGGAATGGTAAAATACCAAGCACTTAAAAAAAAATCAACACTAATAGGACTATTAAAACAACATTCCTGGGTAGCCACTGAGATATTTTCCTGTGGGCTTACCAGGATTTTTCCTGGTAGATCAATGGGCCAGTCCAACCCTGTTTATGTAAATGAAACACTATTTGAAACATATATATTTTTGTTTCCTTCCATGTTTTTTTTTTTTAGTTTTGTTTTGTTCCTCAGGTCTGGCAGTATTATTGTTACCTCCATGTTTTTAAGTGACTCTGTTTTGTTTTGTTCCTCAGGTCTGGCAGTATTATTGTTACCTCCATGTTTTTAAGTGACTCTGTTTTGTTTTGTTCCCCAGGTCAGGCAGTATTTTTGTTACCATCCTGGTTCTGATACCAAGTGGTGTTGACAACCCTGCAGGAAAACTGATCAAAGCTTTAAAAAATTTGCTAGGCTCAAACTTGACCATTAGCGACATGCCCAGTACAGTTTTGGACTTTTATGTGCGGGCAGTTGCTGGTAGGTGTAATTCAAGGAACTTAAAGTTTAATAATAAAAAGTAAGCTAGTTTATTCTTTTGGACCAGGTAGCCCATGGGGCAGATGAAGTAGAGTTTACCTGTTTTTATAACCTCTGCATAAGGAGATAATGTGGTCAGCACTATGTCAAGCCGCCTTTACTTTACCTAATGTGAGTCAGGTACCCATTAGAGCTGGGTGGACTCAGTGACGTCATGTGAACTCAACCTATGATCCAACCTACCATGTTTAACTCTAAACAATTAACAATTTTATTTCAGAATAAGAAGTTCTATAAGACTTGTAGTGACAGGGATTCCCTCCCCTTACAATACATCATTCATACAATTAATCACATTTAAATGAACTGCTAATAAAAGAAAAAATTCTCCACAGCTCAAACATCTAACCTTTGTGACCTTTACATTCAGTTGGTACAGACCTGTTCTGATGGCTGTATTGTACAGGAAAACACACCTGTCTGCAGGTATTTACCTGTGATTGTGTCTAGATTACACATATCAAATGTTTGACTTGAGTCTAGGACAACACACCTGTCTGCAGGTATTTACCTGTGATTGTGTCTAGATTACACATATCAAATGTTTGACTTGAGTCTAGGACAACACACCTGTCTGCAGGTATTTACCTGTGATTGTGTCTAGATTACACATATCAAATGTTTGACTTGAGTCTAGGACAACACACCTGTCTGCAGGTAATTACCTGTGATTGTGTCTAGATTACACATATCAAATGTTTGACTTGAGTCTAGGACAACACACCTGTCTGCAGGTATTTACCTGTGATTGTGTCTAGATTACACATCAAATGTTTGACTTGAGTTTAGGACAACACACCTGTCTGCAGGTAATTACCTGTGATTGTGTCTAGATTACACATATCAAATGTTTGACTTGAGTCTAGGACAACACACCTGTCTGCAGGTATTTACCTGTGATTGTGTCTAGATTACACATATCAAATGTTTGACTTGAGTCTAGGACAACACACCTGTCTGCAGGTAATTACCTGTGATTGTGTCTAGATTACACATATCAAATGTTTGACTTGAGTCTAGGACAACACACCTGTCTGCAGGTATTTACCTGTGATTATGTCTAGATTACACATATCAAATGTTTGACTTGAGTCTAGGACAACACACCTGTCTGCAGGTATTTACCTGTGATTGTGTCTAGATTACACATATCAAATGTTTGACTTGAGTCTAGGACAACACACCTGTCTGCAGGAATTTACCTGTGATTGTGTCTAGATTACACATATCAAATGTTTGACTTGAGTCTAGGACAACACACCTGTCTGCAGGTATTTACCTGTGATTATGTCTAGATTACACATCAAATGTTTGACTTGAGTCTAGGACAACACACCTGTCTGCAGGTATTTACCTGTGATTGTGTCTAGATTACACATCAAATGTTTGACTTGAGTCTAGGACAACACACCTGTCTGCAGGTAATTACCTGTGATTGTGTCTAGATTACACATATCAAATGTTTGACTTGAGTCTAGGACAACACACCTGTCTGCAGGTATTTACCTGTGATTGTGTCTAGATTACACATATCAAATGTTTGACTTGAGTCTAGGACAACACACCTGTCTGCAGGTATTTACCTGTGATTGTGTCTAGATTACACATCAAATGTTTGACTTGAGTCTAGGACAACACACCTGTCTGCAGGTATTTACCTGTGATTGTGTCTAGATTACACATCAAATGTTTGACTTGAGTCTAGGACAACACACCTGTCTGCAGGTAATTACCTGTGATTGTGTCTAGATTACACATATCAAATGTTTGACTTGAGTCTAGGACAACACACCTGTCTGCAGGTATTTACCTGTGATTGTGTCTAGATTACACATCAAATGTTTGACTTGAGTCTAGGACAACACACCTGTCTGCAGGTAATTACCTGTGATTGTGTCTAGATTACACATATCAAATGTTTGACTTGAGTCTAGGACAACACACCTGTCTGCAGGTATTTACCTGTGATTGTGTCTAGATTAAACATATCAAATGTTTGACTTGAGTCTAGGACAACACACCTGTCTGCAGGTATTTACCTGTGATTGTGTCTAGATTAAACATATCAAATGTTTGACTTCAGTAAGGTCCCTAGACAGCACACCTGTGATTGGGTCTATATTACATATATTAAGTGTGAGACGTGTAGTTTGCAGAACAACAGACCTGTCTAAAGTAGATTATTCTGAATATTTTAGATTTAAAACATGTTTTAAAAGCATAAAAAATTCACCATTTGTTTTGAAAATAACTGTAGCTGGTGAAATCATTTAAAAAAATGGTTACATTTTCTAAAAATATCTTGGAATTTTTTTCAATTAAAAAATAAATTCTCTGAATTTTATTTCAGTGAGTCCACCAAAAGCAGTGAGTATTTTTGACTGTCAGAAATATTCTAAGATTGCATGATTAAGTTTTAAATTTCAGTGCTTAAGTTTGAGATATTGTTTTTTTAGTGTCTATTTAAAACTAAATGAAAACCAATTGCTAGGCCTACAATATGTTATAGCAAATCATCAAGTTGACTTGTTCTACATCAAATTATCTTAAAACAACTTCAGAAAATTAACCACAAAATACTTTACTTTCTTAATCTGTTTATCCAACTATTGTTTTTATACTTGGTAAATATTGACTTACCTCCCCAGGCAAGTACGCCTAGCCGGCTATTGCTGTTATACTTGGTATAAATTGACCTCCACTTTTATTGACCTCTGACCTCCCCAGGCAGGTACCCCCTGATAGTTGGGCTAGCTGTTGGGATCCCCCTCTTCTGTCTGCTGCTGATTACTGTGGGTGTGATCGTCTTTGTGTGGGTTCTAAGTGTCAAAAGGAGGAAAGGACAGCTTAAAGTGATGAAAAAAGAACCTGATTGGTCAGTACACTACTAATAGTTTTATAATGACTAGATCAGTTTTACTGAGCAATCGGTCGGCCTGGTCGAGTCGGTAAAGCTCATGGTTGCTAAACCGAAAAGTCCCGAGATCGAACCCTCGGGCAGATGAGGCTCGTTAGCTGGGGACAGCCACTCTTCTAGGAGAGACAACTCCAAAATTAAACAACTGCTGCCTTGTAGTTTGTTCTTGGTTGGACAAAGGCTATGGAAGCAAATCCAAAAAGAAAAGCAGGCTGAAATCGGAGTCAATGGCCTCAATGGCGTATAACCAGTTGACACATAACGCTTAATTGTGTTGGAGGCGTGGTCGAGTCGGCAAAAAAGCTCAGGTTGATAAATTCGAACAAAGTCTCGAGTTCAAACCCACTGGCAGATAAATCTCGATCCCCTTCAACACTAATAATTAAGAACGAAGAAGAAGAAACTGAGCAATCAGTCAATTATTTGAACCTATCAAACAGGCCATTTATAAAAAAAACATTAGGCCTACTTGGTTAGACATTAAATTTCTGAAACAAATAGTATTAGCTAGTTTAGTTTAATAAAAGTTTTTTCAAAGCTTAAATGTAACTTAATCAATTTGACTATAGTAAATAGAATTATTTGTCATTTTATTTTGTCAGTGTTGGGGGTTATCATGTATCTTTGTTTTTTGTTTAGCCATTTTATAATATAAAAAAAAGTATTGGTGTTCAAAGGGAGATAACCTTTAAAAGGGAGATGATGTGTTAAAAAAAAATATTATTTGTATTTAAGTTAATGAATAATTCATTTTATTTAATTTAATACATTTAAATTAATGTGTGAATATTATTAATTGATGAAATGAATAAATAATTATATGTGAATATTATTAATGACATGAAGGTATGGAGCTGTTTTAAAAAGCGCAAGACAAACTTATCAGAATGAGGCTTACGTCAGTGAGCAGGCCACAAGTTCTGAGTCTAGTTCAAGCCAAGAAGATACCAAGGGCAATGGCGGTAAGTACTTGACTTGATTCTGTCTAGATCTGTGGAGCAAAGGGTTGCAGCTACACATCTAGAACAGACTGTTTTCTTTAGTTTAGAGTAAATCAGTCAATTTAAAAAAAAAATTTCTTAAGTAAATTTTTACGTTAGTAATGACAAATACCAGAAAGCTTTTCAAAACAATTTTTTTATTATTTCCCAACCTTTTTCTTTGTAACACTTTCTAACAATGCATGTAAAGAGCCACACGTTTTCTTTTAAACACTGTCTGCCCCTCCCTATCTTTCACCCATCCCAGGGGTAGCTGCATTATACTTCAGGGGGCATTATCACCCAGTCAAAGGAAAAGAATTAAAAAAAAGTTCCACAAAACGAAAATATGAGACATACACGTTTTTTTCCAGTGGTATTTATGATTATAATTATATACATCATTAGCACAGAGTGACGTCACAACATGACACGCGATGAGGGTGACACCAAAGTACAAACGTATTTTGAACATCATAGATACAGTCTGATGCAATTTGAACCTTAAAGAAATTTTTAATATTTAATGCTAATTGTCTTATAGTTGGGTCAAATATTTAAAAAATTTAGTTTTTTAATTTATCACAATATTGTTCTTTTAGCTCCAGCCATACATGTACATGTTGTGTGATCATAATCACTTTGGTAAAAATGTACGCCTATGTTTATGTATGATGTTTTTTTTTTGGTGATTTTGTTTTGTCAAGCTTTGTAAAGAAATGACAAGCTATTTATAGAAATATGTTTATGACTAATGAAGTTGTTTCCAAAAATACATTTATGTCTAATATGTCTTCAGCTTACACGAACATCGACTTCTCGTGGGAAAATGTTTATCAGAAATCAGAGTCTACTCAAAAGGTAAATGTTTATGAATGACGCATCGTGCGGATGTTGTAAAATTAAAATTTGGTTAAATATTTTAATTTATTTTTCTAAGTACTGTGTTTGAGCCATCTATAATATTGAGAAAATGATGTATAAAATTCCATTTTGAATCTTCAAAACTATTTTATTTTTCTTTGTCTTGTAGGACTATGAGATCCCCCGACCTAGGGTGGTGAGTTGATCTTTAGATCACTTGTGTTTAGCTTGACTGTTGCTGTTTCAGACCGTGGCTGTGGGTGCAGATGGTGGCCTGACTATTGTCTTAGTTCTAAAATATCATATATTTTCTGAAAGTTTATAATTTAATGAGGGCCTCTTGATTTTCTGAAAGTTTATAATTGAATGAAGGCCTCTCCATTTTCTGAAAGTTTATAATTGAATGAAGGCCTCTACATTTTCTGAATGTTTATAATTGAATGAAGGCCTCTCGATTTTCTGAAAGTTTATAATTGAATGAAGTCCTCTTTTTTTCTGAAAGTTTATAATTTAATGAACAATATACATTTTCTGAATGTTTATAATTTAATGAAGGCCTCTCCATTTTCTGAATGTTTATAATTGAATGAAGGCCTCTCGATTTTCTGAATGTTATAATTGAATGAAGGCCTCTTGATTTTCTGAAAGTTTATAATTGAATGAAGGCCTCTCTTTTTCTGAATGTTTATAATTTAATGAAGGCCTCTCGATTTTCTGAAAGTTTATAATTTAATGAAGGCCTCTCTAATAGATTTTAAAATATTTTCAGGAGATAGACACACATTTGTAACGAAGGCGACTTCAAGTTTAATTACTGTACAACAGAAAGATCAGTCACAGATACAATGTTCATTAAAAATACAACTCTTTCATGTTTATCTTATTTTCCAAGTATATATTTTTAAAGGAAAACAACTCATCAGTGAAGCTTCTATTTTTTTCCATATTCTTTGTTTGCTGAAGATCTGTTTTATAATGTGAAAATGTAAAAAAAAAAACCCACATTGTTTGCTTTGCTCTGTACAGGTGTAAAGCGTGTCAGACATTTAAAAAAAAAACCTTGAATATGCAGTTTGTGGTATTTATTGCTTTATCATTCAAAAATTGTGATTGATAGAACTTGCATTCCTAAAAAAGATTTTATCCTTTTTATCTTTATGATAAAATTGTCATGTAGATCTATATCGATTCAATCAGCATGAAAATGTTTTGATAAAAATCTGTGACAGTAAATTATTTTACTGAACATTGCCATTAAGATTGTGTAACTATAATCATTATTTATATTGTGGTTATATCTAAACATGTTGGTGTTTTGTTTAAAATTGTGTTTGTATTAAGTTTAATTTAAATCGAGGCGTGCATAATATAATTTTGATAATCGTTACTGTAAAACCTGCAAACTAGGTCAAACAAATCGTGAATTGAAGAATTTCGGTCTTAGGTGATTTGACCACAGGTGCTTTGACCGTACGGGGTTTAACCACAGCGATGCTTTGTCCATTCTACGGGCATGGGATCGTTCATTAATGACGCAAACTGGCAGATCACATGGCATTGTTTGATCTGTACCACACACACTAAGGAAAAACTTGTGAAACCTGGCGTATATCCAGGTCAGCAGTCTAAAACTGTCTAAATTCGCCCTTTGACACGAAATGTTATTTAAATCACTTCCTAGTGCCAAATCGCAGACAATATCCCAAAGGAAGTGTAATTGAACTACTAAAAAAGTGACACGTATTGCGTTATCTATAATCTCTCTCTCTCTCTCTTTTGTTTTGGAAATGACTTTAATCTTTTAATAAACTTCTGTTGTTTTATTATGACTAGTGAATAACTTCTTCAGGCAAAGCCTTTGAACTTGTTGCTATTGTCATATTCAAATAGTTCACAATTATCCTTTTTACGATATAGCCTACGTTTTGCACCACTTTTAATCGAATAAAATTTAGTGTGTATTTCTTTAGAATAGAGTCAGTAGGGTCTATACTGTACGTTTTATTTAAGATGGACAGAGATCAAAGTCTCTGATGAACATCAGGTCAAGATAACCTCACACTAGAGGTCAGGTCAAGACAACCTCACACCAGAGGTCAGGTCAAGACAACCTCACACCAGAGGTCAGGTCAAGACAACCTCACACCAGAGGTCAGGTCAAGACAACCTCACACCAGAGGTCATCAGCCAAATCCAAGGTCTGCAAAGAGGGGACCAGACCATTCATGTGAATGAAACGCGTGTTTCTTATTGTTTTTTTTTTTAGAACCCAACTTTAGCCAACTACAGGTCGCAAAATATTAAAATTTAAAAACAGTTACAAATTAGAAGTTTAGTATTTTAAAAATTTTTGTAATTAAATTTGCGAAATGAAAAACAATTTAATTTTTTTAGGCTACATTTCATTTGACGAAGTCGTACCAGCCCGTACTTGGGCGAATGACGTATCCCACATTTTGTAAGAGCCGCATTAATTGGCTTTCGAGATGAGCATTGTCCTATAAGCCCCGCCTTTTTTATTTATAATCTCAATTGTCAGCATGCCGAGGTTATTGTTTATTTACATAACACATGTGGTGTCAGGAAAATACCTAGGCCTAACAGATTTTGCTTTTTAAAAAACCCAATGGGTTTAGATACCTAAAATATTAATACATCGAACTTGATTTAAAAAAGCATAATAATGATTTTAAGATGACACATGTTTTAATAACACGCCCACGATTTTAAAACTACCCCCCTTCAGAGTTTCTTCCAGGCATCTCTTCGGGGGGGGGAGGGGCTTTGCCCCCCCCCCCCCCCCCCCCACCCCCGAAAAATTTTTACCGCCCCCCCCCCCCCGAACGAAATGAAATTTATATAATTTATATAGAAAATATATACTTTTAACAGTGTCCGCCCCCCCCCCCCCCCGAAGAAAGTCTACCGCCCCCCCGAAGAAAGGCTTCCGCCCCCCCCCCCCGGAGAAAAAAGTCTGGAAGAAACACTGCTCCCCTTCCAGAGTTCAGACCTCTGCCTTAGATTATTTGTGTGTTACAAAATCTAGTCATGTGAGCACATTATGCCAAGCACGAACTCAGCAACCATAGTGGAGTGGTACACCAAATGTTTGGAATTTTCTCGAAGTGGTGTCGTGTTGATAACCTTGCAAGACAGGTTTTATGATACGTATATAAAATTAAAGATACAGTAACAACAGACAGAGTACAATAGTTGCGTGGAGGTGTGGGTAACGATGGCTTAAACTCGGTGAATAGCCTACAGTCTTAGAAAAATCTATTCAGCCTAACAGCGCATTTCACAAACATACTTTTTTTAAAAGTTTTTTTTTAAATTATCATTTGCCATACTTTATTTCTTTATTTAAATTGCAATATCAATTACCAGTATGTTATTGTCCATTAAGTTAAACCAATTGCTACTATTTTACTATCTTCGAGCTCATAAATAAACTATCTTTATAAACAAGTGAACCCCATAGACCGTCAGGTTTGAAAGGGAACTTTACTTTTACAATCAAGACTTAGTCCACTATGCCACCCCCCCCCCCCTCCTCAATATTATGAATTTACAGATAGCTGGTGACAATCCCTTGCTGACGTAAGCGACAAATTAAGTACATCATTAATTGGCATAGTTCCAACAAAGGTATCAGGATTAGTCAAGGGCTCGCGTCAGTCAGCTTTAAGAAAACTGGGAACCAGTGGCGTAGCCAGGAATTGTTCATGGGAGGGGTTCAAAAATGTTTCAATACGTATATAATCATATATATATATATATATATATATAGGAGTCCATGGAGTCCTAACCCTCCCCCCCCCCTTGCCTACGCCACTGTTGGGAACACACCGGTCGGCGTGTCTTTAGATGTAGGCACATAAGCTCACTTGTTGCTGACGACATTGTTGGAAAATTTGTTCAGGAAAGTTTTGTTGACAACTCCACATCACCCTCCCTACTCACAGAGGCGTAGGTAGGAGAGGGCTGGTGGGGCGGTAGCCCCGGGCGCCGACGTAAGGAGGTGCCAAACGGAGTAAAAAAAGTTTATTCTGAGCTTCATTACTAAATTATACTCCGTCGAAGTGAAGAATATAGATTGAATCTTGTCTTTACAGAATTGTATTCAAAATTGTTGCTACATCAATTCTGTGACAACAAAAAAGAGCCTCCGATTTTTCCGAATGGGCGTGTGTGTGTGGGGAGGGGGTGCTTTTTCAACATGAATAATTATATAGGCCTAACAATAGGGGGAAGGGGGCGCAAAATTGAAAGTTCGCCCCAAGCGCCGGTATGGGTCTCTGCGCCTCTGCCCTCACCCCGTCATCGACCTAGATTATAACCCGTTGTGAGGTATGTCAGGGGCACAAGGCTTCCCTTACGTCCGCGCTTACTATGTGGGTAGCTGGGCAGTGCCAGTTGGACAATGGGTCGAGAGACTATCAGTGTTTCTTCCAGACTTTTTTCTCCGGGGGGCACTTGAAATTTTCGGGGGGGGGGGGGGGGGGGGTAGACTTTCTTCGGGGAGAGACACTGTTAAAAGTACATATTTTCAATATAAATTATATACATTTTATTTCGTTCGAGGGGGGGGGGCAGTAGAGATGCCTGGAAGAAACTCTGGAGACTATAAGGCCTAGGTTTACATCAAGCACCAAGGTTACAGATCCAACCCCCCAATACCTAACGTATACACACAAACATCACAATAAACATAAACAGATAGGGACCGTGTCCATATTATAGACCTATAACATGAAGATGGATTTTAGAGTGGAAAATATAGTGAGGTACTCTTATTAGTACCAAAAAGGGGGGGGGGGGTGCATATACTCGAGGTTTTACGCCCTACTGTAAATCTTGTTTACTTGAACTCCCTAAAACTTACATACAATCACAAGGTGTACCCGCCGCCATCTTGGTTTCATCACGTTTATGGGATATCTCGGTAAATAGATGGTTGTTTATCTTCATAAACTTGGCTATAAAAGTGGGTGTGACACACTGAGTTCAGTGCACTGACAGGCGAAGCTGTAATAAAAATAAAGTTCATTAGAATAACTGTATAGTCTGCTAAAAATTTATTATATTAAGTTATTGTCTGCTAAAAAATTTTCAATATATTAAGTGAATAGTCTGCTAAAAATATTTTATAACACATGTATAGTTTGCTAAAATATTTTCGAACCTGAAGGTCTATTAGGGTAGATGGAGTAGATTTCCCCTGTTTCTGTGACCTCAGCGAAGGGTCAGTACTATTTCCAGCCGCCTTTACTTTCCTTAAAGTGAGTCAAGTACCCATTAGAACTGGGTGGGCTCAGGGATGTGTTACGGGCTCAAGCCCTGGATACGAACTCGAGACTTTCGGGTTAGCGGACGTGCCTTCTACCACCCGACCACGTCTCAAATACCATCTGCTGTAAACTTTTTACACCAATTAAGTGTAGGCTATATATATATATATATATATATGTATATATATATATATATATATATATATATATATATATATATATATATATATATATATATATACATATATATATATATACATATATATATATACATATACATATATATATATATATATATATATATATATATATATATATATATATATATATATATATATATATATATATATATATATATATATATGTGGTGGATAAGTACTAATAAGTAGGCCTATGCGGTCAAATCTTGTAACTAAATGTTGACTCATTTCTAATGGCTTGATTTCTCTCCAACTCTGCTGACGAATACGTCTCCAATAAATCTGATTGAAAATCTAAATAACTTAATTTAAATGTAAAGTTCCTTTTCAAACCTTACGGTCTATAGGGCAAGTAAAATAGAATTCACTTGTTTTTGTGACCTTGGCATATGAAGAGATAGTGTGATCAACACTATGCCCAACGTGAGTTAGGTACCCATCAGAGTTGTGTGGACTCAGGTCTACTGACTTGAACCCGGATTTGAACTCGAGACTTACGGGTTAGCATTCCAGCTCTCTACCGCTAGACCACTCCGTCCCACCTTACAGTGAGTCATTCACAATCAATTACAGCGGACTACACACAACAGCCTAGGGGAAATAACTCAGTGGCAGAGATTCGACAGGTGAGCTGGTGTTCACGATGTTTGTTTACAAATCTTGAGACGGACCCTCATAAGGGGGAGATAATACAGGGGAGATAATACAGGGGCAAAGAAAACAGGGGGAAATAATACACTGCTACTCTACTTGAACGGGTTTTTGGCCGCTGGATAAGTTTGTCAATATAATTATTAAAAAATATATTTCTTAAAATTATTTATAATACTTTTTATAAAAAATCACAATTAATACACAAATGTGCAAAAATTCAATCTTGATTTTAGTTTACACTCTGATAGTTCTGCCTCGGGTACCACAATCCTAAGTTCTTAGCCGTGGCCCTAACTAAAATCTTGACCTAATCACAGATCGAAACAACCCATAAAAAAAATATATATATATATTGATAACATATATGAATGTCGTCTTTTTGTCAGAAAATTATTTTTGTAATATAACATTCATGGTTATCTTTCTTTTTTCGTCCCAACCAAATGTTAACAGATTTTTATGGATCGAAAAAAAATAATTTGTCATTTATAACTATAGCAAGTGACGTAACTTAACACAGGACCCGCAACTCATTGTGTTACAAAAGCTTACACGAACAATCTTATTTACCATTCTTATCTCCAGGAGATTTACGATGTATTTGCGATCTATTTATAGCACCTATATAAGAACGAGGAACTTTGGTGTGGCTTGTCATTAGATCGTCTCGGTCTCGACAAAATACGTCCTGGTTTAACAAAACTAGCTGTGTCTTGGGCACTGGATTAAGTTACTTGTCTTTATAAACAGTAATCACGTAATCATTTTAAATTCAGCTTAATGAGGGTTTTAGCAGGTTAATTAAAAAAAAACACGACAAAAGGGGGCGGAGTGGTCTAGCGTAAGTCTCGAGCTCGAATCCGAGTCCACCCAACTCTGATGGGTACCTAACTCACGTTAGGTTAAAGTAAAGGCGGCTGAGCATAGTGCTGACCACACTATTCCTTCATATGCCGAGGTCAAATAAACAAGTGAACTCTACTTCTATAGACTGGCAGGTTCGAAAAGGGAACTTTACTTATATGAAGATGGATTTTGAGTAGACAATTTGTTGACATCCTCTTTTTGACTTCATGTAGGGGGGGGGGGGGGAGGCGAGATGCAAGGCCCTATACATGTCTTCTACCAGAGATTCTGAATTTTAGCCCTCCTCGTCAATAATCACCACCAAACACACACACTCACACAGACACACCGCCACTAGAAAAGTCGATTGATGACATTTTTAAGATGATACACTTTGAGAAAATTTTCTTTCCCAAACTGTCTTACCAACGACAAAAACAAATTAAAAAAAAATGTCGATTGGATAAGTCTCTTTCAAACGAAAACGAATCTATATGGAAAATATATAATTTTACTTCTTTCCCAGGAAAAAAAAAATTGTACGCCACCCTCTCCCCTCACAAAGTTTATGTAACTTTATGGCACGAATGACTTTGTACTGTAATTTTTAAAAGAAAAGACGTTGCTTTGAGAACATGTTCACTGGATTATCTAGAAACTGGTTGGGTAGGCCTACAGCATGTCTAGCACGAGATACAAACGTACAGCCCGGATTGAAAAAAAGAAGAACTGAACCCCCTCCCCCTCTCCCCGAACATCCCCCCCCCCCCCACACACACACATACCAACAACATCAACAACACCTCGATACAGTAAAAAACTAAAAACAACACAACTACATTCTTCTGTGTTGACCCATTAACAAGGCGCGGCCATTGTTTTATCACGAAGGTTATAAAACTCCGTGACAGTATTTAAACAGGACTTAAGGATCCGTGAATTAACTCCCCTTGCCCCTCTACGCCCCGCATATATTAACGTCTGCTTGGCTTCTGTATTTCAAATGTTGCTTTTTTTTTCTCGGCGTATCGAATTCGAAACTTAATAGGATATTTTCACAAACAGAAAAGGAAGTGTACAAGTGTGTAATTTCTTGGGGGATATAAAAAGACTATTTTAAAACTAATTTTGTTAAACAAAGAATAGGACAAAGACAATTAACAATGGCTGATTTTTCTACAATTGTTTTATTTTTGATCTTCGGATTATTATTCGTACCACGTGAGTTCAAACAAATATTTAATTTAATGTGTAATTATATAAACTTTATCTAAAAATAAACATATTTTTATAATATTCAACGTTTTTCATTAAAATGTTTGTAAGCCGTTAAATGTAGAAAGTAAATATAGCATTTGTTTACAAGTATAACTGTAACCGACTAGTTACTATTGCGTAACACTCCGTTGTTTTTGTTTGGCCAAAAATGTGCTGTTATTGCAACATGATCTTCAATCTGTGTTGTGTAACACTAACATTGAGTGGTAACTACACATAATACCAGCTGCTAATTTCATTCTTTCAAACTTTTAAAATTAACTGGATTTTAAAAATATGATACTAGTTATCTCAATGCCCATCAGTGGTACTTTCAGACTTTTTTCTCCTGGGAGGGGGTGGGGGGGGGGGGTCTCTTGATATTTTCGGAGGGACGGAATACATTTTCCAGACGGGGGGGGGGGGGGGGAAGACGACGGGACAGTGGTATAAGTATATATTTTCTATATAATTCCATTTCGTTCGGGGGGAGTTGGGCTGTAGACTTTCTTGGGGGGGGGGGGGGGGGGGGAGGGGAAGGACGACCCCCCCCCCCCACCCTGAAGACTGGAAGAAACTCTGATGCCCATCAAAAAACAAATCACACAAATCAAAGCTCATGCTGACACACCCATACAGATACACAGACAGACAGACACACAGATACACACATAGTAAGAGATGAATTAGATTATTCCATTGTTGAGGAGTAGACTTCACCCAACACATCGACATTCACAACATTTGTAAAGTCACAAATCACACACAAACATGTAACTTCAGACTTGTGTTATTTTGTTTCGACACTTTGAGTTTGTGTGATTATTTGGCTGAGACTTTTTGTGGACTAATTTAGCTCAAAACACACACACACAAATATATATATATATATATATATATATATATATATATATATATATATATATATATATATATATATATATATATATAAAACCATATTTTTGCGCTGGGGAGGCTACTCGTCAAGCCTGATAGGAACAAACTGGTAGATAATAAATCTAGTTTTTGATTTATCAAGAGTTCTAATTAGTTGTCTTGATATATAATTAAGTCTAATTAGTAGATAATTATTATTTGTACGGTAGATTGAAAGATCTCTAACTAACAAACCTATACTGAGTGTAACCATGTAAAACAATAATTACACACATTTTGTTTTATCGAATGCAGCCACGAGAAGCCAGACAGCGAGTGATGACAGTTCTCTCTACTCACCTGAAGAAATCAGCAGTACCTTTTCAGCAAGTGAAACCTCGAACGATATGACGACAACAGAACTTGATGACGTTACCTCGACGCTCCCCAGCTGGGCAGCAACTCTCTCAGCATCAGAAGATTCCTCCCCAGAACAATCCAGCTTTGACGTGCAATCAGATTTCGTATCCTCACAATCTTCTACTGATGATATTTCTGCCATTTTCCCTTCGTCGACGAATGCTTTAGATATATCTGCAACAACTGTGGACTATTCTGAGTCTTCTAGCTATATAGACCAATCAACGGAGATGGTGGGTTCTTTTAGCTCTGAGGTTGTAACATCAACAGTTTCAGCACAAGAATCTATTTCACCATCCGCAACAGATTCAGCACAAGAATCTATTTCACCATCCGCAACAGATACAGCACAAGAATCTATTGTACCATCCGCAACAGATTCAGCACAAGAATCTATTTCACCATCCGCAACAGAATCAGCACAAGAATCTATTTCACCATCCGCAACAGATACAGCACAAGAATCTATTTCACCATCCGCGACAGATTCAGCACAAGAATCTATTTCACCATCCGCAACAGAATCAGCACAAGAATCTATTTCACCATCCGCAACAGATACAGCACAAGAATCTATTTCACCATCCGCAACAGATTCAGCACAAGAATCTATTTCACCATCCGCAACAGATACAGCACAAGAATCTATTTCACCATCCGCAACAGATTCAGCACAAGAATCTATTTCACCATCCGCAACAGATTCAGCACAAGAATCTATTTCACCATCCGCAACAGATACAGCACAAGAATCTATTTCACCATCCGCAACAGATACAGCACAAGAATCTATTTCACCATCCGCAACAGAATCAGCACAAGAGTCTATTTCACCATCCGCAACAGAATCAGCACAAGAATCTATTTCACCATCCGCAACAGATACAGCACAAGAATCTATTTCACCATCCGCAACAGATACAGCACAAGAATCTATTTCACCATCCGCAACAGAATCAGCACAAGAATCTATTTCACCATCCGCAACAGATACAGCACAAGAATCTATTTCACCATCCGCAACAGATTCAGCACAAGAATCTATTTCACCATCCGCAACAGATACAGCACAAGAATCTATTTCACCATCCGCAACAGATACAGCACAAGAATCTATTTCACCATCCGCAACAGATACAGCACAAGAATCTATTTCACCATCCGCAACAGATACAGCACAAGAATCTATTTCACCATCCGCAACAGATACAGCACAAGAATCTATTTCACCATCCGCAACAGATACAGCACAAGAATCTATTTCACCATCCGCAACAGATTCAACACAAGAATCTATTTCACCATCCGCAACAGATACAGCACAAGAATCTATTTCACCATCCGCAACAGAATCAGCACAAGAATCTATTTCACCATCCGCAACAGATACAGCACAAGAATCTATTTCACCATCCGCAACAGATACAGCACAAGAATCTATTTCACCATCCGCAACAGATACAGCACAAGAATCTATTTCACCATCCGCAACAGAATCAGCACAAGAATCTATTTCACCATCCGCAACAGAATCAGCACAAGAATCTATTTCACCATCCGCAACAGATATAGCACAAGAATCTATTTCACCATCCGCAACAGATACAGCACAAGAATCTATTTCACTATCCGCAACAGAATCAGCACAAGAATCTATTTCACCATTCGCAACAGATACAGCACAAGAATCTATTTCACCATCCGCAACAGATACAGCACAAGAATCTATTTCACCATCCGCAACAGAATCAGCACAAGAATCTATTTCACCATCCGCAACAGATACAGCACAAGAATCTATTTCACCATCCGCAACAGAATCAGCACAAGAATCTATTTTACCATCCGCAACAGAATCAGCACAAGAATCTATTTCACCATTCGCAACAGATACAGCACAAGAATCTATTTCACCATCCGCAACAGATACAGCACAAGAATCTATTTCACCATCCGCAACAGAATCAGCACAAGAATCTATTTCACCATCTACAACAGACGCACCACCAGTATCTATAGCACCATCTACAACAGATGCACCACCAGTATCTATAGCACCATCTACAACAGACGTACCACCAGTATCTATTGCACCATCTACAACAGACGCACCACCCGTATCTAGTGCACCATCTACTACAGATGCAGCCCCACAAACTACTACACAAGCTCTCACACCATCTACGACAGATGTTGCACCTACTCCATCCAGCTCAATCTACACACCGTCACAATCTATCTCCACCACGCCATCTCCTCCAACGACATCAACAACGACATCAACAACGACATCAACAACTTCAGCTCCTCGTAAGTAAACGGTTTTAATCGTTAAATATTGTCCAAGTAAATGGTGTACAACTTACATCAATTTATAAAGCTCAGATGATACTCAAACTAAAAAAATGTTTTGTTTGCTTTTATTTGTTTGTACTTAGTTATAGAACTTTTTTGAACTGAAGAAATTAAATTTTCACTTGCTTAGAAAACCGTGGTGTGTTTAAACTTAAAATATTTGATTTTTTTTAAATTCAGAAAATTCATAATTCATATAATAAATAATTGATTTTAGTAGCACGAAAAAGGTGTAGCAATCTTTCATTTTATATTATGAGATTTTGTTTTTTATATACTTTATCAATTGCTTAAAACTCTTGTAATTTATGTTATACAGTTTGTAAGTCTCACAAAACTTTTTTTTTTCAAGAGACAATTACGATTTTTCTCCCATTTAGCTCAAAGTGTCGACCTAGAGGTCTCGTTTAATTATGTCACAAATTCTAGCCTGAAAAATACAACTGACCCAGAATACATAGAACTGTTCAACGCAACAGAACAATTGGTGGGTAAATGATAATTTAATGAATAATAACGTAGCAGCCAAATAAAAAATTAGATTAACTTATACATTTAATAGAGAAATATCTACATTAAAGGGTAAAACGTTTTATTTTCTTTTGATTTTTACTTTCTCGTATATACGAAGTATAGAGAAAGTATTGTAATCGTGCAATCGTTTTACACCTCACTGATACGGAAAAACATAATTTTGCAATCTTGTCCGTATGTCTGTGTGTCTGTCTGTTTGTCTGTCTGTCTGTCTGTCTGTCCGTGTGTAAACACGATTACTTGAGTACCGTTACAGCTAGGTTGATGAAATTTCATATATAAGTATTTTATCAAAATCGTAGATCCGTTTCAACTTTTGAGCGATTTCCGATAACCGGAAGTGGTACTTTTCCTACTTTGAATTTTTCAAAAGCCTATAACTTGAGTACTATTTCAGATAGATAAATGAAATTACACACGTAAGTAAAAGATCTAATTCCCTTCCTTCTGTTAAATTTTGAGTAATTTCCGTTGACCGGAAGTAGTATTTACGCTACTTCCGATTTCTCAAAAAGCTAATGTAAATTTTTAAAGTACTAATAATATTGCGCACTATTATGCACTTTTTTATTTGGCGTTCAATCGGTGTGCAATTCTTTTGTCTACGAGATTTTATTCTATTTTTAAAACTTTAAGTATTTAAAATGGATTAAAAATCATGACTATAGCCCGAGTTCCCATCCCCTATTATTTTATATAAAAATATTCGAGAAAGTTTTGGGGAGATCACTCCCGGTTTATTTTCTACCAGTTATAGCTTTTTTTTTTTTAACACAGTGAGCATCATAGTCAACTTATTTTTTATTTTACTTTTAATAATTTTTGAATTAAACTGAAGTAAATTATTATTGATACTAAGACAAACCACTCAGCAATCACTATAGATATTTGACCGAAGCATTTTAAAACTAGTCTGTCTCTTCCACAGCTGACCAGAGAATTTAAAAATATCCCAGGTTTTATTCGCGTCAATCTTACAAGTATACGGTAAGTGGAGTCAGTTAGATTTCATGTTAGGTGCTTCAAAAAATAAAAATTAAACTGTATCAAATACGAACAACACACCACAGGGTTCGTGCACAGAAAAATACAACATTGTAACCAACCCCGTATACATTTTAATAATATTTTTAAAGAACACTAACCCCTCCCCCCAGACAAAACAATATACTATCAGGTAATGAAAAAAAGGATGGAATTTAAAAAAAAAATATTATGGCAACCATAACTGGTTGCATCATCATCGGTTGAAGTTATAGGCATTTGTTTAAATAATTAAAAAATTGCATAAAAGATTGCTCCTTACCAAACTTTCTCCAACTACAACAATATGATAAAGTTCAATAAACCACTTTCTTCGTGTGTTATGTAGAATCCCTATTCGGAAAAAAATTGTTTTGTGCTAAGGGGTCATCCATAAATGACGTCACGCTTTTTTGGACGATTTTTACCTCTCCCCCTCCCTCCCGTCACACCTCGTCACAAAAAGCCAGACCCCCTCCCTAAAATGATGTCACTCTTCAGCCTACAACCCCCCCCCCTCAAAATTGCAATTGAATTTTTCTTAAAACATCGATATTTTTCCAAAATCTTGTTTGAACTCTGTCAACATAGAGTATTTTAATCAAATTCCCATTACAATTTATTCAAACAGTTTTCTAAAACGTGAAATTACGGCTAAAACTCGTTTTCTAACATTGCTTTTATATAATACAAAAGTGTGACGTCACACCATCTGAACCCCCCTCCCCCTCATCACACACTGTCACAAAATTACGGACCCCCCCTCCCCCTATGAGTGTGACGTTATGGACGACCCCTAGGATATTGAGTATAAATTTTAATCTTGTCTTCGAACACGTTCAGTCTCTCCGACTATTCAAGTGCTGTAAAATATGAACTTAAAGCTGCACACCACACGTTTAGTTTTCTTTTTTCACGAGTATATCATGTTATCGTCCTCAGAAAAGGCAGTGTGATTGCATCTTTTACAATCGTTAAGACAGCTTCAAGCGACTCCGCTCTCGATGTGGATAAAGCGATTACAGACTTATCTAGCAAACCTTTGGAATTGAACGGCCAGCCAGTTACAATAACCAACATCACAGTCAACGGGAGAGAATGTAAGTCAAATAACTCGTAGCACTATCACTTGACAGTTGAAGATTTTTTATTATCATTAGTTATGAAATGTTTGGTGTATTTTTTTGTTCGATATTACTGTAAATGAATATAATTTAACAGATTATACTATTTTCGATAAATTAGTGCTAATTTGGAAGGAATGTGTATTTGCAAGTTTAAGAAATCGTAATTATTCATAACATGTCAAAAATAAAATCATGTAGGCCTGCATCAAACTATTTTAACATTTTTTAAGAATACTTGATTCCACAAGTTATTTGACGATGAAAGTGTAAGGCCCGATGTTTGTAATTAAGATGTGGCGTAGTTTTAAGCCATTTTTCCTTTACAAAAACATTTATTTGACTTATAAAAATACAACAACAGACAATACCTCTATGGGAGCCTGTGAGAAGGTCGCCATTTTGTTTCCCTGCAGTGCCGAGGAAGTTTGCGTGGAGGAGGAAACAAAGGGATCTTGCAAGTAAGGTCAAGATTTCTGCCAGGCTGTTTCTTTGGGGCCGTCAGTAAACGACGTCACATTTCTAGGGGTAATGGGGTGGGGGAGGGGTGACTTTGGTGACGGTATGTGATGAACGGGAGGGTCGTCAAAAAGTTTGATGACACACTTAAATTTTAAAAAGTAATGTTGGAAGCTGAATTTTCTGTTTGTCGGGACTTATTTTATAAATGGAATTATAAAATTGATGCATATACCATTATATATATATATGTGTGTGTGTGTGTGTGTGTGTGTGTGTGTACATGGCTCCTTTAGCTTCGAGAGAGACCGAATATGTTCTCAGAAAAGCAAAAATATTTAGTGGGCATTAATAAATAATTTATCCTTTTTATTTTTTTTATACTTGTGAAGAATAGAGAAGCCTTTATTTTATATACCGTTAAAAATGTGCTATTTCAGGTATCGTGGTCATGTATTATCAATTCTAGTTAAGGGACTTATAAGTAATTATAAGTAATATATTCTAATAAAGTATGTTATTAATTTGCTATACTTTCTTGCAGGAGATTTGATGAAACTTTAACATTTGTAATGTTGGTGACACCGACTGGAGACCAACAAGATATAAACGCAACTTTGGACGGCAAAAACAAAACGAAACATTTGGTAGGAGATACATTTTATGCGTTTTAAACATGCTAAATCATAAACTACATTAAAGCATATTTCAATACTATTTGGGACTTACCCTACCTTGCAACGAGCAGGGAGGGCGAGCGGAAAAAAACATTATAAATAATACCCATATATATATATATATATATATATATATATATATATATATATATATATATATATATATATATATATATATATATATATATATATAACCAAAATAACCATAATCCAATGGACATCAGACATCACATATTAAATACTTGGATTTCGCAGATTTTCTCTGCATTTTCGCACAGCGAACAACAAATGCGAACTTCTTCTTTCTTAATTGTAATGTTGGAAGTAATTTTGTCGAGTTTTGATGATTTGGGTTCAATAATTTTTGTTGAAATCGATTTTTAAAAATTGTGTGTTTTTTTTTAATTTAGATTTTACCATCAAAGCGGCCGTAAAAATGAAACAGTAAACTAAGCCTGAGAATAATTCTTCGGTACAGTTTACTAATTTTATAATAAACAGTTATTAGATAATTTAAAATATAGAAAGCTTGGTTATAGGTTTCATTTCTTCGAATTTCGACCAAACAGTATCGCCTTCCAATCCACCCTCTTCTGCCTATATTATTTTACTGGTTAGACAGCTACATAAGATTACCGTGATATTTATTTATCTTTAATACAATGGCTCCAGGCAAGATGAATTGCAATCAAGTACAAGTGTCTGATCTTTCAAGTTGAACTTGAGACTGAGAGAAAAGTAACTTTTAACTACAAATAACAATCGCTTCTTGTCTAGAGAAATCATAATTATACGATAATATAAGCGGTTTTTTCCCAAGTGTTAAAATATTTAGCTATTAAAATCCACTTGTTATACTTTAACGAAAAAGCGCTCCCCACACCCCCCCCCCCCCCTTGGAAAAAAATCGGCGAGCGGTTTATACTGTTTTTCACTGTTTTTTAAGGGTATTTAGTTAACCGCTACATAATATGGTTGAAAAAAATCAAATGTAAAGCCTTGTAGCCATTTATTTTTATTCTGTCTACAATTCAGTATTGCGGCTTAAAATGAGCCTTTTCATGTTTTTCATAACCCCTCCCCCCCAAAAGCCTTTATATTATAATCCCCTTATACATTTGTCTATACAATCATCCGCCCAATCGTCTGTCCACTCATAGAAGTTTTAAAATATTTCGTTTATATATTTAATTTTAAGTATTAATTTTATATTAATTTTGTGATTATTTTTTCCCCATTCAGTTGTTAGCTGTAATCGAAAATTACACATCGATTGTAAAGGACATCACAGTGCTAAACATAAGGTAAAGTTTAAATATCCTAGCTTGTTGAAACATGAATTGAAAAGTTGAACTAAGCTTAATTTAATGGCTACTAACCGCGGCGTCCAGCTTTATAATATTTACAGAATAAACGATGTTTTGTTTTTGTAACCTACAAGCATTCTGAATATAATGTGCAGCGTGGACCTCTCTCTGTCGATACTCTGAGTTGGAGCAGCCCACAAGCGACGTAATTGATGGAAGTCATAAATAGATGACCCTTACATTTAAAACATACCTTTTCTTATACTAGATAAAATATAAACAAATAAGGCCTGTCGAACAAGAGCTGCATAGGTTGTATTATGTAAAGGTGTTGCCTAAGCTAACTATGAAGAGTATTGTTGAAGGGGTCACACTGAGTTAGTTTCTACGGGAACAGTATTGATATGGGCCCTTTTGTTGGGAGTCTATTTGTCGGGAGTCGAAATGATGGGGAGCCTATATGTGTAGTGCCTAAATGACGGGAGCTTATTTGTCGGGAGCCTATATAACGGGGTCCATTTGTCGCTTGTCCTTTCGATGTGGTCCATTTTGAAGCTGCACAGTCTCTCTCTCTTTCTCTCTCTCTGATGTATAATAATGCCAATTATTTAATTATTTTAATACATGTCATTCACAGAATATGCATATTAAAATTTTAGTAAGAAAAATAAACATATTTTTGCACTAATTAAATATTTGTATTTACAGCATTACCACTTCTGCTAGTCGTCTAATCACTTACAGTTCCAAAAATGGAAATTCTCTAGAGGTTTTTACCGGATTCAACTTCAACGATAACAAAACATATTTACACAATATGACAGAAACTTTATACAGAATTCTACAACAACGTGATTTTCAGTATCTAGGCTACAATATAACCATCAGAAGTATTTCATTTAATGAAACCTATTGTAAGTAAATGAAGAAAGACTATTTTAGTTATTGTATTCCCTCTTTGAAGATTTAATGCTCTCATTTTAGTAGATATACATTAGTGTTCTTATTTCCTTCGTGTGTCTTATCCTCGTTAAATTCTCTCTCTGCCATTTAGTGAACGCTACCAGCACTCTCTGTGACATCAGAGAGGCCATTGAGCCGTGTCTAGATGGTAAAGTCTGCTACTTCGTGAATAGCACTCACACTGGGTGCAGGTAAGTCGAACTAAAACAATTTGCCATATGCTAAAACCACGGACATTTAAATATATGAACGATCCCAATAGGGCTGGTAAGTAGGTCACCAACCAGTTCTACGGCTCAATAAAAACTGCATGAGCCATAGAACTGGTTGGTGACCCTCTTACCAGCCCTATTACCATTGGTGTAGAGATTAATCCCCCGAACATTTTCTATACATTTATATAAAATAGTCGACTGATGGCACAATCGAGCCTACTACCAGCCCACAACAAACGGGTCCCCGATTAAAAATCTTTTAAGACACCTAATCCCCAGAGTTTCTTTCAGGTATATTTCTCCGGGAGGGGGGGGGGAGGCTTGAAATATCCGGGGCATGAAATATTTCGTATGGGAGGCAGTGCCCCCCTCCCCCCCCCCCCATAAGGAGCGATGAACCATTACAGTGCTCCCCTTGCGCCAACTGAGGCAAACCATCTTCCATTCATGTTGAAAACACTACCGCCTCCCTCATAGTTATTATTATTGCTACAATATAACCACAATTTCAAATACTTTTTTTACGTTCTATTTCAGATACAATACTGGTAAGTTATTTTATTCATTTTTTTAGGATAATTAGGATAATCAAAACAATCAACGTGTGGGTGTGAGGTAGTTTGAGGATAAGTGTATAATGTCACTGAATTAATGGAACATTATTCAGGTTTATACATTTATTTTATTAATAAGGTAATTATATTGTTTTTGTTACTTAAGTGTTTTAATATTATCAGGGAAAGTAACCAAAAACTAGTAGGTTTTTGTGTTTTTTTTTACGACCCTTTGTGTTCTGATAGTGTTAGAAATTTTATTTGTAACTCTAATCAAACCCATTCTAACCAGACCGTGTTTTTGTATTCTCTAAGAATGTGTTACTTTCACGGAATAAAATTATTAGGTCTGCTTTGTTTCGTTCCTCCCACACAGACAACACAAACCTGATTATCGGCCTTGCTGTGGGTATCCCTGTGTTTTTCCTGCTGACTGCCATCATAGCCGTCTGTGTGTACATGCGTGTCAAGAGAAGGAACAAAGGGTTCCTAGACAAGTACTCGGAGTACAGTAACGACGAGTAAGTTAGACATCTATTTGTACAATAACCACGAGTAAGTTACACATATATTTATACAGTAACCACGAGTAAGCTACACATCTATTTATACAGTAACGACGAGTAAGTTAGACATCTATTTGTACGGTAACGAGTAAGTTAGACTTATATGTGTGATGTAAAAGTACACTGAGCCGATGGATTAACTGTCGATAAAATTATGTGAAATGCCGCTATTATTTATTTTTAACTAGCCGACTCAGCCAGGCCCTGCACTGGCCTCTGTGAAAAACTATGTGTAATGGACCATGACTTGCGTGTTTATTAAGCAGCATATACCCGGCATCGACGTTTGATAAAAGAACACATAACCATAAACCCAAACTCTAACTTAAAACTTAACACTTACCACAACCAACCAAAACCAAAACACAAACAAAAAAATAAACATAAACATAAACGCAAAAGCAAACACAAAAGCAAATGCAAACCTAAACGCAAACAATAACGCAGAACATAATCACAAATCGAAATGAAAACATTAACGCATATTACTCACAGTATAGGCCGTGGCGCCAAATTCCACCCTGCAGGGGCGCCGACGGAATCGCTTGATACAACTTAGTAAACGACTATAATACCCCATCTTATCCATAATGTATAATACTCACTAAATCAAACGTAAGCGCCAAAGCGCTCACGAGAAGGCCCGGGGCGCCAAATCTCTCACTGCCCGGCGCCGGCGGACGCGCCTGATTCAATTTAGTGAACGACTATAATACCACCAGCTTGTCCGCAAACCGAAAGATAGAAGTAAACATAGAGGACATTTAGGAGCGGCTTCTAAATTGTTATTGATTACAGATCATAATTAGTAAACAGTATAGATTCAATGTATAAAATAAATAAAAGGCAGTATTTAAAATATTAGTGTTTTACTTGCCTCATTGCACTTCATCAATCCATGCTAAAATATTTTTTTTTCCAACACCTAAACAAACTAATAAGAAATATTTATTCATATATCTATCTGAAATAGTACTCAAATTATAGGCTTTTGAAAAATTCAAAGTAGAAAAAGTACTACTTCCGGTTATCGGAAATCGCTCAAAAGTTGATCAGGATCTACGATTTTGATAAAATACTTATATATGAAATTTCATCAACCTAGCTGTAACGGTACTCAAGTTATCGTATTTACACACAGACAGACACACAGACATACAGACAAGATTGCAAAATTATGTTTTTCCGTATCAGTGAGGTGTAAAACGTCGAGATTTGTAAAAATCTCGATTTTTTTTTTGCACGATTACAAGACTTTCTCTATACTTCGTATATACGAGAAAGTAAAAAAATGTATTGAAATATCTCATCTGCAGTAAATCTGTGTTCGCCGATCACATCGCCCCCCAGGGTGACTGGAGAAAATGGAACATGCCTCGAGGTATGAACGATGCTTACGTCACACCTAAACCAGACAACAAAACGGAGCCCTCACATTTCTATGATTACCTGGACGCCAAGCCACGCAAAGAAGGTCAGTGCACTCACAACAAGGATTTAGTTTCCACCGTTAGTTTCGTAAATACGGCTTTAGTTTCCTAAATAAATTATAAGTTCGTAAATAAGCCTAATTTGTTAAATTCGTAGCTCAAACTAAATCAAAAGTCTCGTATATATACCTGGACTGAATAATGTGAATATTAATTACTATTTTCTAAATACGAGCTGACCCGCGACGGAGTATACGCCGCCATCTAGTTGTTTTATTTTCTGCTTATCAGCAATTCATAATTTGTGAATTCAACACTACCCCTGCCGCCCTCCCCCCTCCCGCCCAGTGAAAGCAGCCGTTTACAGACAAAGAAAAGATCAATCAGAAATTGTTACCTCCACTTCGTTTCAAATCGCTTTATACTAAATTATCTGCCCCTAATAGCCGTCACTAACCCGGCTCTACGATTGTAAGCATTCGGGGCGAATCACAGCTCACTTGACAGGTAGGGATGAGGGTGGTGGCTAAGCTGCGTGGTGTTTTCTATGGTCTCCATGAAGAGAATTATATATATAGATTATTTATTGTTGTGTTCCATAAGGTTGTATGAATATGGTAGATCTTACATTTTCATATCGCACGCTCTATAATTGTCATATAAGTTTCACATGCTAGTGATACAGGCGTTGATTGGGGTGGTCGGGTGGGGCGATCGCCCCGGTCGCCGAAACTGGAGGGGGGGGGGGGGGGGACCGAAAGGACTCGAAAAAAAATTCATTCTGTGCTGTATTTTAAAATTATAAACTGTCAAAGCTCAGAAAATAAACTGCGACTTGGCTTAGTGGGCTGTTTTCTATATCAACTGCGATACGAAATAAAATCTTTTAAAAGACAGTGTCTATTAAAAATCGCCCCTAACATATCCGAAATGGGGGGGGGGGGAGAATTGAGGGACGCTTTACGTCACCATAATAACTGTATATAAATGGGGGGGGGGGGGCGGGGTAAAAATTGATAGTCCATCCCAGGTACTGGCTTATGTCGCTACCCCCCTGGTTTGTGATTTTCATTGGACAATAAAAAAAAATCTGTCGCTTTCAGGCATGAATGAAGGAAATTTCTCCTGGGATTTTATGTTCAAAACTTTGGAACCAGACGGCCAGGTAAGATTATGTTTTTGGTGTCTGTTTAGTTTAACGATGCAGTTTGCTATAGCTAATGAGCTTTAAGGTGGCTACAATTAAAACAGGACGAACAATATTTTCAAATGTAAACTTGGACTATATTGTCTATTGACGTGCTACTCTTTGAGTAAATAAATACGGATCTTTTCACTATCATCAGAAATTGTTCGAGAAATATGAAGATAGTATTTATAATTTTTTTTACAAAAGATTGACACATTTCAATGCCGTTTCCTCATACTTTTAGCAGAACATTTTATTTTAAAAGTTTTCATAAAAAATAACACAATAGCATCTATACTCAACGATAGAAAGTTCAAATAAGGGGAGTAATTCAACAAGTTCATATATTTCAAGCAAATTTTAAAAAAAAAATGCAATTTGAACTTAGTTTCATCCTTGGCAAAACAGAGTAGTTGAATATGGCATATGAAGTAGAGTTTATGGGTAGTTTTATTTTACGACCTATAAAGAAAGGTGTAGTGTGAAAACCAAAACTAGTTCACCACCTACGCAGAGTTAACGCCCTTCGTACTCCAACAGTTTAGAGAATCTTATTTAACATCATTCAAGTTTTGTCTATCTGCTAATTGATGTTTTTTTTTTAATTCAATTAAACAGGAATTTAAACTCCAGAGACCAAAGATTAATTTGGTAAGTGACTTGATAATATAAGCCATATAAATTTGAAGCTATAGTTGCTACTAAAATTGGATATTCGTGTAATAAAAGCACTCATTTATACTGATCATACTTCTTGAACAACTATGCTTAATACTCCGATGATAAGTCTAGAATATTAGCAACAAATTTGTTGAGGATATTATCGATTTGAGTCAATTAGAATTAGATTTTTTTAAATAAGAATTACGTTATGAGTTAATTAAGATTAATTACAATTAGATTTTTAAAAAATAAGAATTACGTTATGAGTTAATTAAGACTAATTAGAATTAGATTTTTTCAAATAAGAATTACGTTATGAGTTAATTAAGACTAATTAGAATTTGAATTTTTATCAGGGATTTCACCAGGACACGTAACCAATGCAAGCTGACAACTCTGTCAAAGTGGCCAGATCAAACTTCGTAATTTAGATTTTTAAATTATTATCCTCACTGTTTCTTATGAATCCAAAATTGTTTTTATCTACCTCACTGATTTTTTAAAATGCTGTTTCTTTCCTTTATATAATGTTTACGGTTAACTAGAAATATTCTGATACTTTTATGGCCCTGATTCATGTTTTTATTTTATTTTGTAAAAACTTAAAAGCTTTAAAAAGAATTTTAACTTAAATTTTTTTTTTGCCATTTATTGAACAAAAAAAACCTGTGTGACTATTAAAATTGTTAGTTAACTAAATAGAGATTTCAGAACCCACTTGCTATATCTTTTATTACTGCATTTAAAAAAAAAACAACTTGACATAGACATTCATTTTTTTTCGGGAGAAAAAAAGAAAAGTTAACAAGCGTTTGTTTATTTGCTTTCTGAATTCAGTAAAAACGAATAGTGTATTACTAAGGCTATTTTTTTAAATGACAGGAAATCAAAAGATTAATTAGCCCTACAAAAAATATCAAATGTTAATATAAATCTCTATAATATAAGCCTTTCTATTACACACTTTCAATATCGATACATATTTTAAGGCTACTTGATATAGGCTACAGATTCTTAAGTCTGTTGGCTATTTGTTAGAAAAACTACATAACATTTAAAACATGATAAAAGCCTGTAAGGGGGTTCAAGTTAGGATTGATAGAGCCATTATGTTATATGAATTTAATCCACATAGTTTGTGATGTGTCGCTTGTACTGTGTTTGTGAATAGAGGATAACTATAAGAGAAGTTATGCTTTTGAATAAAATATTGACACGATAGATCTAGGAGTTTTTACACAAATTAAATAATAAAATGTTTGAAGCATCACAGATTGTCGTATTGGATGGGGAATCATTACACCAGAAATGTAAAACTATTTTAAATAAAGCAATATCCCACCATTTAGTTTAGCGTTGGGTTTTTTCCCACGTTTTCTTGCTTTTGCGTCTGTTTATTTATTTGTTTGTTTGTTTTTCCAATCAAATCTTGCGATCGAAATTTCAGGCACTTTCCAGTTAGCTAGCGCGCTGAAATTTTCAGGGAAGCTTTGTTTCCGATGACAATACAATATTCAATTATTATTATTACTAAATTGATCCATGGAAAAAATTTATAGATCATTTTAGACCCTTATTGATTTGTACAAAAAAGGGACATAAGCTAGTAATTGTAATTTGATAAAACAAGGTTCGGTACTTTCCCTCTTCTGGCGAGCACGCGATTGGCTGAGTAGTGGTCACGGGGTGTTTGTGTACAAACCTATGCAAATCTGACTGATCAGGAAGTAGAATGTTGATGGTCGAATGGTTTGCACGCGAGGGCAAAATGGTGAAAGAAACGGCAACACAGAAGAAACGTCGATTGGAAAAGGCACGTGTTTTTTACGAGTTGTCTTCGTTTACCCCCCCAAAAACAAGTGAATGCGATAAATAAAATCGATAGCAAGGTTTGAATGCAAACAAACAGACAAAGACTAAAAAGTAGAAAATAATTATCCTTAAAAAAGTTTTTAAAAACCCACGTTTTCTGATTGAACTAAAAAGTAGAAAATAAATGCTATACATCACAATAATGCAAGCGATCACTCTACTATAAGCGATCGCAAACTGCGTGCGCATTATGACAAAAAATAAAAAACGTGGGGCGCCGTGATTTTCTTACAGTTTTTAATACGGTTGACTCTCTACAAGCTCTTTAATTAAACTCAATAGTATTATCTAATCAATAGTAATATAACTTTTACATCTTATATTAACAATGACCGATAACAAACTTTTACTTCGTGTGCTGTATGACCGCCTGGGTGTCAGGGACGTCGCGGGAGTGACTGGTTACACTACCGTAGGTAACCAGATGCAACCTTTGATTCGTTTTATTCATCGAAGGTAGAGGCCCACCGTGTCCCTAATGTATAATACTCGTGTAATTTGTGTCAAAATTGTCATCCGTACGCCGAGGGCGTCAAAAGCTGCCCCTGTTGCAGTTTGACCATTGAATCAAATAGTACCTTGCAGGATGCCCAATCTACGGATCTCGTGAACACAGGTAGCCGCTGGTAAACTCGGGGCACCCATTCGTTACTACTGCTGATGCGATGGAGGACACCCCTTCATTCGATTAAGTGATCAATTTTAGTATTTCAACGTATGCCTAGTGTATGGCTCTCATTACAATAGGCGCCGTAGTGCTCTTGGGGGGGGGGGGGGGGGCGGGACGCACAGGGTTACACCACCAACGGGTGCCGGACACATATTCAACGGACCCCAGGTGCAAAAATAGACGCTGGGGAACTATGGATGGCAAACTGCACCGCATTACTGAAATGATATAAAACTGTAATGGCAGAAACCTTCCCACAAGTCGGAGTTTCTTTCAGGCACCTTTTCAGAAAACAAATGTCCGGGAAAAAATACTTCCTTTGGAGTATTCTCAACGACTTCCCAAAGTTTCTTGGCGATTGGATGAATACCAAAAACGTATAGTCTTAGTAGCGCCATATTGATTAAAGATTAATTAGATCAACAAATCAAATGTCATTAAGGTAAAGAAAAACATTGACAAATGTTCGACGCAGCTGGTTGTGAAAACACTATCTATGGTAATTTTTTTTAAATGGCTCAATTAATAGCATGGATGTTTAGCAAGATAGAATTTCGTGGAGGGCAGACAGTTGGGAGAGAGATTCAGGTCTCTGTTGTGTGGTAGGGAATTTCCCAGTTAGTTGAGGTTTGTAGCAATGCACGTAAATTTACGGATGCTGGATGCCGAACTCACAAAAGAGTCAGTTCAACTTTATTTATAGGCTAATTCTCTCAATGGCTTGCACGACCATGCGGCAACGCCTGAAGTGATATTATTACGGATGGGCCCTGTTCGACCCCCCCCCCCCCCCCACACACACACACTGAATCCCACTACTTGTAAAGTAAGGAATGACTAGGGGCCTTTTTGGGACTTTTAATTATTTCTATAATAGAAAAGAAACTGGATTTTCATTTTCTTTTTAAAACTATTTATATATGTAAGCCCTGCTAGGGGGGGGGGGGTATCTCTAAAATCTACCCTTCTAGGCTTATTTAACTACTGTCTGGTCAGTGCAAGTCCGTCTAAACCCAGACTGGTTAATAACCTAACCTTAATCTAGAATAAACACAAAAAAACTTTAATAATGTAGTAAATTTATTAACTGGAACCAATAACAAATAGAGAAAAATAATAGATAAAATAAACTACAGACACTAAACAAAACAATATACAAAAAACACGACTAAACAAAACTCAACGGGACATCACACGACTAAACGAAACACAGCGGGACAAAACACGACAAAACAAAACACCCAGCCAAGTTGCTCAAGCAACCTCAATGGAATGGGGGGGGGGGGGGGGGGGAGAGAAAAAGAAATAGAAAACATAAGAAAAATGCATAGAAAAATATATACACCAATATATACATGTTTAAATACTACTAACTTCTACTAAAGATATATAAAGCCTCGAGTAAAACTAATCCCTACTATTACAATTCTAAAAGCAATTCTCAAAATCAGACCTAACCACTGTCTAACCAAGAACTAGCAACTTAAAAATAACGTGTAAAACAAATTCATTTTAGAACCAATCTTTCCTACACAAGGAGCAGCCCGAAGCCATTGGTCTACATAAACAACATCTATATTGATAACATTTAAGTTAACACACTCCGCTAGGGCCCCAATAAAGGCAGACACCAAGCAAGTGACTCAACATGACATTGCATGAAACAGCACACACATTATTTTAAACAACCTAAAACTCGAGGCAACTAAAATATACTTATTACTGTCTAAAACAACCGACTATTGACTAAGTCAATCCTAGTCATCGTGGGGAACCCACAATAACAACACATCATATAAAAAAAAAACAATCAAGTAAATGCACACACGCTTTCGCACCAGTTTAGGAAATCTCCTAAACATAACGATCTAAACCACGTGGTCTAAAACACACGCCAAGGGTTTAGAATACCAAATTACATTTCAAATCTTTCAAAAAGAACACACCACGTGTATACCAGACAAGCCGATGCTCACTATCTCGTTTTAGACGAAAATGAAAGAAAACGAGAAACATCGGCAGTTGCATTCATACAAATCACTCATATAAAAGTAAAATTAAAAAAACAAATACCTGCAAGCACATGATGCCCACACAGAAACTGACCCGATCTACATTTCGCCTCGGGTCAATTTTTATATTGACCGCTTCGGGCGGAAGGGGAAACCCCGTAGCCGCTGTCCAGTTGACCATTCACGCACAGATTCGCACACAATAAAATAATACAAAATAAATAATCCATTCACCCGCTCACATATAAAACAAATAATGAAATTGCAACGTAAAAGTTTAAATTTGTTAAGAGGGAAAAGGGCCCCTAAATAACTCAGTCCCCTATGCCGTGCTTACGCTAGCTTTACGGTAGCTACGCCACTGGTTTCAGCCCATGACGATGCACGACAAACAAAAGCAAGGCACACAAAAGCACGACACACAAATGCACGACACACAAATGCACGAGGAAGCAAGATAAATAAAAGCTTGTAAAAGTAGACGAGCTTGAGTTAAAAGAAAACAGGGTTTTGTGCAAACATAAATACATTGTTTATTATTATAACCGCGTGCATGTTATGTAGCAAAGTCAACTGGAGCAGGCTTATATTGTGTAGCCAAAGCTGAAATTAACTATACCGTTTCTTAATTCTTATCTCCACATTATTTATGACCCATTTGGAGCTTATTTTTAGCACCTATAAATATAAGGATGGGGGAAGTTCTCTGTTAAGCCATTCGAACTGTATTCCTCACAGCCTGGTCGATCGTTCAACAGGCCAGAAGGGGTCGAAAAGAATAAGGATGAGATCATTTTTTATCTTGTCATAGAATTGTTAAATACTTTCTTATAAAACGTGTCAACAACATACCACCCGGCCATAATCTAAGGATTCTTAATTAAATATCCAAATGTTTATAAATATAGATAAAATACAGTATATAAAATACAGTATTTTATATTTTATATATTTATTGATATTTATTGATATTTTGTGAGGTCGTAGAAGAACGCATGAGGGTGTCAGAAAAAACTCGCCATTTAGAGAAAACTTCGTAAAGTGGTCAAAACTGACCTGTTGTATTTCTCGATATAATCTTTGTATTTTATTTGAAAAAAGGAGGAAACTTTCACAAAGATTTTAGGGCACTTACCGTCTGTAGACCTACATCTGGCTAATTTTTTGCAAGCACCTCTGTAAATGGCTTTGCATTATGGAAAAACTGTCGGTTTCACTCAAAGCACTTGACGAGGGCTAAAACATGACTGCGAGTGAAATTCTTCTTATATGAGCTTTATATCGAAAAATACTTTTGCCGAAAGACCCCCTTGATATTTTGTGAGGTGGTAGAAAAACGCCTAGGGGTGTCAGAATAAACTCGTCACATCTGGGAAAAATCTGGAAAGTGGTCAAAACTGACCAGTCGTATCTCCCTATATAATCTTTGTAATTTATGTGAAAAACAGGGTAGTTTCAATAAAGACTTTTGGGTATATAAGGCTAATTTTTTGCATGCACTTTTGTAGATGACTAGGTCGTTTGTGAAAGCTGTTGTCACTGTTAAAATTATATATTTTCTATATAAATTTCATTTCGTTCGCGGGGGGGGGGGGGGGGCGGTAGACTTTCAACGGGGGAGGGGAGAGGGGGGGGCTTAGCCCCCGCCCCCCCCCCCCCCCCCCCCTCGAAGAGATGCCTGGAAGAAACTCCGACTGGCATTCAACGCCACTCTTTCTTACCTAAACCATATCTATTTATGTTATTTTTTAATTTAATTTTTTTTTTACAGTTTTAAGCAGAGAGCCTATTTAAAAATCATAATAAAAAATAAGTTAAACATGTAGGCCTACGTATATTTTCTCTATGTAAAAAGCAACACAATTTTTATTTTTGTTTGATTTTGTGTTGACCCATAAATGTACAAGGCGTGGCCATATTGCTTTATCACGAACGTAATAAAACTTGGTGACAGACTATTTAAACAACGATTTTCTGGTACGTGCAGTTAAGTCCCTTAGTAGTTATCTGAAACAACACATACCCAACACATTTTTATTGAGAAGTTCGCTCCAGTCTGCAGAGATAAGCAACTGAAACTTTAAACCAACTTTACTTTATAGTTTGTTTTTCTAATCAGAGTTATTTTATATTCAATTACTGTGTTGTATTTATCACCAACGACAATGTTTTACTTTCCGAAATTTGTTCTTTTAATCGGATTGTTATACATAACACGTAAGTAAATCTTATACATTATGTTTTAATTTTTATTTTTTGCGCTTTTCTGTATAGATAAAATAGTGGCGCATCAGCACACATTTAAGGAAATTAATTTTCATTTGTTTAATTGCCAGTATAAAAGATTGTTACGATCAGTGGCGTAAGCAAGGAGGGGGGGGGGTAGGGGGGGGGGGTAAAAACCCCTCCCATGGGCTTACACCCCTATACACACACACACACACACATATATATATATATATATATATATATATATATATATATATATATATATATATATATATATATATATATATATATATATATATATTTATTTATTTATATATATATATATATATATATATATTTATTTATTTATTTATTTATTTATTTATTTATATAAATATATATATATATATATTATTTTATACATATGGATACATATTTGAACCTCTCCCTTGACCAATTCCTGGCTACGCCACTGGTTACGATAAACATTTAATATATGCTTTTAAAGATGTAATAATTTAAAAAAAAATTACAGCTATCAAATTCAAACGCCCACGAAATACCATTTAATAAACGAACACTTTACATTAATAACAAGGTGTGTCGAACAGAAACTTGATAAAACCACTTGATGCACCTTTTGCTTTCTAGTACACGCAGTATGGATGAAAATATTGTAAGAGTGCGAAAAATCGAAATCGATATTTTGACGAATTTAATATTCACGATTTACACCTTTCTGAGTCGAAAAAACGTAGTTCTGCAATTATATCTGTATACCTGTGTATGTATGTGTCTGTGTGTCTCTGTGCATGTCTGTGAACACGGTAACTTAAGTATCATTTTAGTTATGTTGACGAAATTATATCAATTTTTAGTTTACTATCAACTTTTGAGCGACTAACGGTAGCCGAAAGTGGTAGTTCTGGTTTCTCAAAAGCCAATAACTTAAGTATAATTTAAGTAAGTTACACGAAATTTCCCATATACGTATAAATTGTATGTGCATGCTATTGTCAACTTTGGGATTAATTGCGGTAACCGGAAGTGTCATCTTTCTCCTTTTCCGTTTAAACACTATAATTTGAGTACAGGTTCATTGAGGTAAACGGAATTTTAAGCCTAGGATCTTATTATTTTTTTGGAGTGACCTTCGATATCCAGAAGTGGCACTTTGCTCTATTTCCTGTTTCTAACATACCACAACTTGAGTACCTTTTAGTTATGTGGTCGAAATTTTATATAAAGGTACAAGATCTTATGCATTATTTTGGTCAAATGTAGATTGATTTCTCAAGTAGTATTTTATGCTATTTCTGATTTCTAAAAAAATAAACCGGGAGTGATCTCCCCTAAACTTTCTCGAATATTCTTATATAAAACAACAGGGGATGGGAACTGGGCTATAGACATGATTTTTAATCCATTTTAAATACTTAAAGTTTTAAAAATAGAATAAAATCTCGTACACAAAAGAATTGCACACCAAGTTAACGCCAAATAAAAAAGTGCATGATAGTGCGCAATATTATTAGTACTTTAAAAATTTACATTTGTTTTTTGAGAAATCGGAAGTAGCGTAAATTACTACTTTCGGTCAATGGAAATTACTCAAAATTTAACAGAAGGTAGAGAATTAGATCATTTACTTACACGTGAAATTTCATTTATCTATCTGAAATAGTACTCAAGTTATAGTCTTTTGAAAAATTCAAAGTAGAAAAAGTACCACTTCCGGTTATCGGAAATCGCTCAAAAGTTGATACGGATCTACGATTTTGATAAAATACTTATATATGAAATTTCATCAACCTAGCTGTAACGGTACTCAAGTTATCGTGTTTACACACGGAAAGACAGACAGACACACAGACATACGGACAGAATTGCAAAGCCCAGTTTTTCAGACTGGATTACGCATAAAACCTCTTAATTTTGATAAATCTGGATTGATAATTTTTGCCCGATTAAAATAAGTCCACTATACTTCGGATGTGATGAAGGACTGAGGTGTAATACGGTGAAAATTGTTAAAATTTCAAGTGATTTTTGTGCACGATTACAATACTTTCTCTATACTTCGTATATACGAGAAAGTAAAAAACATAATTCCACAATTTGTGTATATCTTATTAATTAAAGCAGCAAATTCAAAGAACTTCTCGCCTCTATGTTTTCACGAAAAACGAGCGACTTCGTCACGCATGTCTATTTTCTCTAGCCCGATTGAACTGGAGGTGCCACCACAACCCTTATCGTTTTTTCATAATATAGTTGATCGCTCAATAACATCAGTTCAATTAACAAGCTACATCAAGGAATCGGATTTGTTAAAAGTTAAAAAAAACGCTGCCAACACGGTGTAGTGATTGGTAAATTTAGGTAGATCTATATCGTTTGTTTGTTTGTTTGTTTCTCACACCTCTTAGATCGGGAAACGGCAGGAAAGTATCAAATTGTCCTTGACAAAGTTTGATGTTCACACTCATTTGAACGGGAACAATAAAACCATCGCAATAATCGGGTTCAAAGTGACCGAAAACTGACCTCCTAGACTGAACGCAGTCTTATATAAACTATACATTTTTAATAAACCGGGAGTGATCTCCCCTAAACTTTCTCGAATATTCTTATATAAAACAACAAGGGATGGGAACTCGGGATATAGTTTTGATTTTTAATCCATTTTAAATACATAAACTTTTTAAAATAAAATAGAATCTCATAGAAAAAAGTATTGCACACCAAGCGAACGCCGAATAAAGATGTTCATAATGGTGCGCAATATTATTAGTACTTTATAAATTTAGATGCGTTTTTGAGAAATCGGAAATAGCGTAAATTAGTACTTTCCGTCAACGGAAATTACTCAAAATTTAACAGAAGGTAGAGAATTAGATCTTTTACTTACATGTGAAATTTCATTTATCTATCTGAAATAGTACTCAAATTATAGGCTTTTGAAAAAAATCTAAGTAGAAAAAGTACCACTTCCGGTTATCGGAAATCGCTCAAAAGTTGATACGGATCTACGATTTTGATAAAATACTTATATATGAAATTTCATCAACCTAGCTGTAACGGTACTCAAGTTATCGTGTTTACACACACACACACAGACACACAGACACACACACACACAGACACACAGACATACGGACAAGATTGCAAAATTATGTTTTTCCGTATCAGTGAGGTGTAAAACGTCGAGATTTGTAAAAATCTCGATTTTTTTTTTGCACGATTACAATACTTTCTCTATACTACGTATATACGAGAAAGTAAAAAAATAAACCGGTAGTGATCTCCCCTAAACTTTCTCGAATATTCTTATATAAAACAACAGGGGATGGTAACTGGGGATATAGTTATGATTTTTAATCCATTTTAAATACTGAAACTTTTAAAAATAGAATAGAATCTCAGTAAAAAACAATTGCGCACCAAGCGAACGCCTAATAAAGGTGTGTATAATAGTGCGCAATAGTATTAGTATTTAATAAATTTACATTTGTTTTTTGAGAAATCGGAAGTAGCGTAAATTACTACTTCCGGTCAACGGAAATTACTCAAAATTTAACAGAAGGTAGAAAATTAGATCTTTTACTTACATGTGAAATTTCATTTATCTATCTGAAATAGTACTCAAGTTATAGGCTTTTGAAAAATTCAAAGTAGAAAAAGTACCACTTCCGGTTGTCGGAAATCTCTCAAAAGTTGATACGGATCTACGATTTTGATAAAATACTTATATATGAAATTTCATCAACCTAGCTGTAACGGTACTCAAGTTATCGTGTTTACACACGGACAGACACACACACAGACACACACACACACAGACATACGGACAAGATTGCAAAATTATGTTTTTCCGTATCAGTGAGGTGTAAAACGTCGAGATTTGTAAAAATCTCGATTTTTTTTTTTGCACGATTACAATACTTTCTCTATACTACGTATATACGAGAAAGTAAAAATGCTTGAATTAGATCGACCACTTGCAAAAAAAAAAATTGATATTTGGTAAGGAGATAGCTCTTGTGACGTGGCAACTGGAAAATACCAGATTATCAGAAATATCATATTACGGGGATTAAAATTGAAAAGGGGCAAGACTGCGACATGATTTTAATTTTTTTTATTTCCCCCGTTCTTTGAGTACACACAAAAATAAACAAAGAAAACTTTGTGGAATATAAACAAAATTACCCCCAGTAGGACATTACATATCCCCTGAAAATTCCCTTCGGTTAGGATAAAGGTAATACACTGGTTAGGACAGGGGTCTCCAAACTTTTCAGCCCGAGGGCCGCATTAACTTCCAGGCATCTCTTCGGGGTGGCGGAGTAAAATTTAATGACGAATATGTATCATAGAATAATAGAAACCATAATGTTTTACTGTAGATATTTCGAGTTAAAGACGGACAGAAAATTACAGTAGAAGTAAGCTGATTATTATGTAGGATTATTATACAGCAGCTTATTATTTTTTTTTGTTTTTATTGTAAACATTGAAATAAAGGTTCTTCTAAGATCTTTTTTTTATAAAAACGAGCGATTTCATCACAAACTTATTATTTCATTTCCAGTGCCATTCCCAAACTTGATGTTGTGTTGCAATATATAAAAAAGCTTTTTTTGCGGGAGGGGGAGGGGGTTTACTCCAGGTTTATTTAAGTTGAATGACCCATAGTCGTAGTGGTGAAAATGGGACAATATTGTCAGTGGATTAAAAGGGGAATAAAAAGTTCGTTTAACCGTCCCCTAATGCCAGCTCACTATCTAATTTCTTTTTAAAAAAGAAAACAACGAAACGGTTGGCCAAGAAATATCAACTGATGCAACATCAGGAACTACAGATCCACCAGAAGATACCACTTCAGATCAACAAACGAAAGAGATACCTACAGGATCTACGACAGAAACAGGAACTACGACAGACACAGGAACTACGACAGACACAGGAACTACGACAGACACAGGAACTACGACAGACACAGGAACTACGACAGACACAGGAACTACGACAGACAAAGGAACTACGACAGACACAGGAACTACGACAGACACACCTACAGAAACTACGACAGACACAGGAACTACGACAGACACAGGAACTACAACAGACACAGGAACTACAACAGACACACCTACAGAAACTACGACAGACACAGGAACTACAACAGACACACCTACAGAAACTACGACAGACACAGGAACTACAACAGACACAGGATCTACGACAGACACAGGAACTACGACAGACACAGGAACTACGACAGACACAGGAACTACAACAGACACAGGAACTACGACAGACACAGGAACTACGACAGACACAGGAACTACAACAGACACAGGAACTACGACAGACACAGGAACTACAACAGACACACCTACAGAAACTACGACAGACACAGGAACTACGACAGACACAGGAACTACGACAGACACAGGAACTACAACAGACACAGGAACTACGACAGACACAGGAACTACGACAGACACAGGAACTACAACAGACACACCTACAGAAACTACGACAGACACAGGATCTACGACAGACACAGGAACTACGACAGACACTGGAACTACGACAGACACAGGAACTACAACAGACACACCTACATATACTACGACAGACACAGGAACTACAACAGACACACCTACAGATACTACGACAGACACAGGAACTACGACAGACACACCTACAGATACTACAACAGACACGGGAACTACGACAGACATGGGAACTACAACAGACACACCTACAGATACTACGACAGACACAGGAACTACAACAGACACAGGAACTACGACAGACACAGGAACTACAACAGACACACCTACAGAAACTACGACAGACACAGGATCTACGACAGACACAGGAACTACGACAGACACAGGAACTACGACAGACACAGGAACTACAACAGGCACACCTACAGATACTACGACAGACACGGGAACTACAACAGACACACCTACAGATACTACGACAGACACAGGAACTACAACAGACACACCTACATATACTACGACAGACACAGGAACTACAACAGACACACCTACAGATACTACGACAGACACAGGAACTACGACAGACACACCTACAGATACTACAACAGACACGGGAACTACGACAGACATGGGAACTACAACAGACACACCTACAGATACTACGACAGACACAGGAACTACAACAGACACAGGAACTACGACAGACACTGGAACTACAACAGACACAGAAACTACGACAGACACACCTACGGGAACTACAAAAGACACACCAACAGGAACTACGACAGACACAGGAACTACGACAAATACACCTACATCATCACAAGTTTTAACCAGTTCAACCCCACAACCAACACAAAGTAAGTACATTGTCATTTTATTGACATTCATTTGTTGTGTTGTGGACACACTTATTAATTTTGAAAATTTTTGCTTACAAATTATAGTATAAGAACTACAATGGCGATGAACAGAAAAATGCGCAACCAAAAAATGCGCACAAAAGTATGCGCATCGGAATTTCCTATATCGATCGTTTAAAGAATGACGACATTGTACAATATAGCACAGTAAAGCATTTTCTCACTCAATGTTATTAAAAGAAGTAGATCTATTTTAGTATCCTGAATTTGTATTTGCGCGTTTTGTATTTTGCACAGTTTTTCTACCGTGCATTTTTCTGGGAACACTCTTCATTAACACAACATCATAAGTTAGACCAGGGGTTCCCAACCTTTATTTACTCTAGAGCACATTCTAAAATTTCGGTAGGGTGGCGGGCACCACCAATTTTAAATCGACAAACTCCTTCCAGAGGCGTAGCGACCCTTCCCGTCACCCGGGGACAAAACTTTCGATTTGCACCCCCCTCCATCCCCTTCAACCTTTCAATAATGTTTATGAAAAAAATTCTGTCTCTGTCGAATAGTGAGAGGCGGGCACATACGAATCGTTCGGCGGGCGCAATGGCGCCCGCGGGCACAGGGTTGGGAACTCCTGAGTTAGATCATTATTTTGGAGAATTTTCTTCCGATGAAACATACACCTTTACTGAAATATGTGTCTTTAAATTGTTCTGCCAACAATTAATTAGCGTTGCAGATCCACGTAACTTAAAACTATTTAAAACCCCGATGCCAAAAAAAAAAAAGCTACCGATATTTTTTGTCCAACTGTTTACTATTTTAATATTTCTCACTACAAGATAACTCTGACAAGTCTTTGAACATAACTCTCACCTTCAACTACACTGCAAGCAATGAAAGCTTTAACGAACACAGTGATTTGTGGAATGAAACGCTAAAATTGGTGAGTGGTGTACAGTTAATGAGTTGGCATAGAAGTTTAAACAGACCATTATTATTTTTATAATTCAATTATTAGTATAAAATATTGTTTTTTAAATTAATTAAAGATTGGTATCTAAATTATCCACAATCCGCACTATTATACACGTTTTGTTATTATAAACTTTTTTTTATACTTTTTCTCTACAGCTAAGAGATTCATTTGTCAATGTTCAAGGCGTTATACGAGTAGAATTACTAAATATAAGGTAAGCGAAATGTGAATGAAGCATGATTTAAAAAAAAAAACATAATTGAAGAATTTCTCACCTTTGCACTAAAATTGATAAATGAGCAAAATCCTACTATATAAAAACCCATGCGCGCAGTTCTCTTTCCGCGTTTTGTCTGTCGCATTTTTTCCGAAGGTTTGAGAGATCACTACCTTCGGCAATATGTTTAGAGCGTAATGTTACGGATTTATGTTGGGGAAAATGTGCTGATGATAGGCCTACTGAATGTATAAACTAAAAATGTTACTTAAGACCTTAAAAAAGATGATAGAGAGATAATTAAAATTAGAAAGGATTACTCTCCCTTTATTTCTTAAGCCAAACATGACGTCATTATTGCTGAGGTTGATCAGCGTACACTCAAGGTTTTCCGATAACACAACCTTGGGAGACTGGATAGAAGTGCGGAAATACCCGCGTTCCAACAACTCAGATCTAAGAAATATAGCGACGACATTGTTTACGTTTAAATAACCCAGGTCTAGAAAACAACCCACAGGTCTAAAATACATGATTGAAAATGCTTTGATAAAAGCCTCATTAAATGTTGCGTCAGTTTGGTTTATATGACTAGAATTGTATAGTCTGTGGTTCTCGTATGGACAACTGTTTGTGACAAGCCCATACGTCGAAAAAACCTGATTTTTGTGTTTCAACTAGACGGATGAAAAAAAAAGCAAAGGGATAAATACATAGAATTAAAACAATGATTTTATACGTCTTTAATATTTAATTGAATAATACATTTCATTTAAAAAAGACACTATCTAAATTTAATTTTATAACGAGTGTTTTTAAAGTTTCTTTCTATTTAATCGCAGCAACGCTAGACGGTTGCCATAGTTATGGTATAAAACAGAAACATATAGTTTTAACAATAGAACTATGCATTGATGTAATTCATCATCTCACAATCTTTTCCGTTCGTGCCCAAAACACTCGGGGCAGATGAAGTAGAGTTCATCTGTTTTAATGACCTCGGCATGCAAGTGGATAGTGTGGTCAGCACTATGCCCAGCCGCCATTACTTTCCCCAACGTAAGTCAGGTACCCATTAGAGCTGGGTGGACTCAGGAACGTCCTAAAAACCCGAACCCGGGAACCCAGCTCAAGACCTAGCAGCCGTAAGCTTACCGTTCGACCCCGCCGTTCTACATGGGTGTAGTTAGGAGGACAAACTAGTAGATATGTTGTAAGTATAGTGTTTGAAAATCTAGTTGTGAAAGAGAAGAATACGCAAAACCTTTTTTGTGAAGTGACGGTTTTAAAGAGAACATAACGTTTAGTGTGGTTTGGTGTAAAAAAAAATGGGATACTGTTAGTATATATCGTCAAGGGTTTCTTTCAGACATTTTTCTCCGAAGTGGGGGAGGAAGGGTACGTTCGTTGGGGGGGGGGGGGGGTAGGAAGAGGGACGCATACACATTTCCGAATAGGAGGTCACTGTATAACAGCCCCAAGAAAGTTATGCGCGGTATTTAAACTAGTTTTGATCCCCGAATAAAATTTAATTAGTATAAAGATACTATTTCATATTTTACGCATTCTTTAATTATCGATAATCAACAGTTTAGGCAGCATCATTGCAGAATTTCGATTGGTAATGAATACAACAACTGCCAAAGATATCAAAGACGCACTTACTAGAATTTACAACACATTTTTTACGTTAGGAAATCAAACTGTTTCTGTAACGAGTGTTGAAATAAATGGAAAAAACTGTAAGTAATATTTTTTTATCCCACTTTATTTTATATTAACTTAGTTACCATCATTTTAAATAACACTAGAAAAATGTTTAATAAAACGTTTTATAATGCAATAAACAGCACTTTTGAAATATAAAAACCCCATTTTTTGCACCACATAAACAAGATTATTGGTTGCTTTGCTATCTATAGACAGACAGACAGACATATAGACAGACATACAGACTGAGAGACAGACAGACAGACAGACAGACAGACGGACGGACAGACAGACAGACAGACAGACAGACAGACAGACAGACAGACGGACGGACGGACGGACGGACGGACGGACGGACGGACAGACAGACAGACAGACAGACAGACAGACAGACAGACAGACAGACAGACAGACAGACAGACAGACAGACAGACAGACAGACAGACAGACAGACAGACAGACAGACAGACAGACAGACAGACAGACAGACAGACAGACAGACAGACAGACAGACAGACAGACAGACAGACAGACAGACAGACAGACAGACAGACAGACAGACAGACAGACAGACAGATACACACGAGCTTAATGCCAGTGCATAGCAATGGTGTGTAAGTCTACAATGTAATTTTTTGAGGATAGAAAAGAATGGCAATAAACATGAAACACACATATGTTGTTTTGTTTAGCTTCTCGTGAAATAAACATTAATTTAACAAAATAAGATATTAGAAAGAAGGTGTTTGACCTTGGTAAGAAGAAAATTGCAGAGTAAATGTGAACCTTGCAGAGTCAATCCTGTCTACTCGTTAAACGACTGTAGCGTCCACGCCTTACACCAAGCTGATCTTTTAAAATAATGAATATCTTTTCTTTTTTCTTACTCTTAGGGGACACAAACAGCACTCTCTGTGATATCAAAGACGCTTTCGATAAGTGCCCAAGTGATCAAATATGTGTAGATAGTGATGGCACTTGCACATCACACAGGTAGGTAGATTTAAGACAATTTGCAGCAACTTAAAGCTACCACAAGTCCAAAAGGTACCAACAGAGGCAGAGGCTACCATTGAAGCTCCTAACACTTTCTATACTTATGTATATGCCTATCAACATATTGAAAACATCCTCCCACCAATACAAATGGTGTTCGGTCATACTCCTGTAACAAAACCAGGACATGTCCCTGAGCGCTGGGACACAAAATGACCCACTCCCAACTCTTAAAGTAAAATTGACAGCCTCCAGTGTTGCGCTGAAATGCGCTGCCACATCACAGTACCCACCACCCACACCCATAGAACAATGTCGCTAAAGTTGAAACGATATAACCAGTCTTATATGATTAAACTAATTTATTTCACAATCTATTTCAGATCTGATAATGGTAAGTCGAATTTTTTTAGTTATATAAATTTTAAATTAATTTTCAATCAAGCTACAACTATTTGGGACGGAGTGGTCTAGCGGTAGAGAGCTGGACTGCTAACCCGTAAGTCTCCGGGTTCAAGTCAGTAGACCGTCCCTGAGTCCACCCAACTCTGATGGGTACTTAACTCACGTTAGGGAAAGTAAAGGCGGCTGGGCATAGTATTGACCACACTATCCCTTCACATGCCGAGGTCACAGAAACAAGTGAACTCTACTTCACTTGCCCTATAGACGGTAGGGTTTGAAAGGGAATTTTACAACTATTTGATGGACGCATTTAAGGATTTAGTCAGTGAAAACAATAAAACGATGTGTGGGAAGGAGGGGGGAGGGGGGGGTATGTGAGACTATATTATGACCATGGTCCTTCTCCAGCTACCTGTCAGTGATAGCATAGGGCAGTTTTACTAACAAGAACCCTAGAAATTTGATCACATTTATTAACAGAAAAGTCGGATTGGTTTTTCAAAAAAGTGTTACCTTTACATACGAACACAATGCTCTTTTTCTCTCTCTTTGTATCTCTCTCACACAAACGCACACATACATACAATTTCTTTTCTTCTTTCGTTTACCCAACACAGACGACACAAACCTGATTATCGGCCTTGCTGTGGGTATACCGCTGTTTTTCCTGCTGACTGCCATCATAGCCGTCTGTATTTACATGCGTGTCAAGGGAAGGAACAAAGAGTACCTAGACAAGTATTCGGAGTACAGCAATGACGAGTAAGTTACACATCTATTTGTACAATAACCACGAGTAAGCTTCACATCTATTTATACAGTAACCACGAGTAAGCTACACATCTATTTGTACAGAATCCACGAATAAGCTACACATCTATTTATGACGCACATTTGTATGCGTTGCTACAACTACAGGTTCTAAGTTTTATATCTCTGATGAAGACGATAAGCCAAAATATCAAACGTTACGTAATTCAGTAGAACGCAAAATAATAAAATTAAGTAAGGATCAAGCAGTTTTTTTTTTAGTTTTTATTTAGTTATAATTTGAAAACTATTTAAAACTTCTACGAATGCTTGTTTTTTTCTTCCAAGTTACGCTATCCTGGAATAAACCCTAGCTATGAGATCCTAACCCTGGCCTTAACCTTCAAACGTTACTGATTTGCCTTTGGGCATTAAAACTTAAACCTTTTAATAAAGATGAAAATATCTCCTCTTCAGCAAATCTGTGTTCGCCGATCACATCGCCCCCCAGGGTGACTGGAGAAAATGGAACATGCCTCGAGGCAGGAACGATGCTTACGTCACACCTAAACCAGACAACAAAACGGAGCCCTCACATTTCTATGACTACCTGGACGCCAAACCACGCAAAGAAGGTCGGTGCACTCACAACAACGCTTTCGTTTCCAGCGTTAGTTTCGTAAATACGGCTTTAGTTTCCTAAAGACAGCTTCATTTTCGTAATTAGTGTTAGTTTCGTAGTTCAAACTCCATCAAACATCAAAATATCCCGAAGTCAAGTTTATTGACCTAGACTGAATTACGTGAATGTTTATTTCTGGTTTGTAATACATTTTTCATTGTTATGTTCCATCAGCTTGTTTGAATATTGTACAACTTTCATACCGCAAGCTCTATGGTTGTTTATTAGGTTCACTCGTGCTTGAGGTATAGGCGTAGCTAGGGCAGGACGGATGGGGTAACCGCCCGGGGCGCCGAACCTAGAGGGGGAAAGAGGCTGCAAGGAGTAGAAAAAATCTCCTTTTTAGTTGTGTTTTAGAACTATAAACGGTTAAAGTTAAGAAAATAGTCTGATACTGGCTTAAACGACTGTTTTCTAATTCAAATGTGATACGAAATATTACAAATTAAAAAATTGTAAGGGACATTGTCTGTTAGAAATCGCAACTGACATTTCCGAATTGGGGAGGGGGGCGCTTTTCTAGGGGCAAAATTGATAGTCTTCTCCAGACGCGGAATAGTTCGATACACACCTGACACGTGATTTTCTTTCAGGCATGCATGAATGTAATTTCTCCTGGGATTTTATGTTCAAAACTTTGGAACCAGACGGCCAGGTAAGATTATGTTTTTGGTGTCTGTTTAGTTTAACGATGCAGTTTGGTCTTGTTGCTCTAAATTATGAGTCCCAAGTTTGAATCTCTCCAAAACCTAAATAATGTGGACATATGATTTGGTTGGCCTGATTCATTATCTGTTTACAGTAGCAAATGTGCTTTAAGGTGGCTAAAATCAAAACAGGACGAACAATATTTTCAAATGTAAATTCGGAGTAAAGTTTGACTATATAATATATTGTCGTGCTACTCATTTCTCATAAATTGTATGAGAAATGTGAAGAAAGTATTTATGATTTTTACAAATGTTTAATTAATATACCTTTTAATGCAGTTTCCTCATACTTTTAAACAGAACATTTTTTTTAAAGTTTTTACCAAAACTAAAACGGTACTTGACGATAGAATATTCATATAAGGGGGTAATGCAAGAAATTAATATAGTCCAAGGAAAGTTTTAAAAATATAATTTGAACCAAGTTGTATCTTCAGCAAAAGAGGGGATTTTAATATGGCAGATGAAGTAGAGTTTATGGGTAGTAGTTTATTTGAAAGTGTGAGAAATAAAACCAGTTCACCATCAACGCGGAGATAACGCCCTTTGAATTCCAATAGTTATGGGGCTTTAATTTAACATCAAATCGTTCAAGTTTTGTCATTTTGCCAATTGATGTTTTTTTTATTTAATTAAACAGGAATTTAAACTCCAGAGACCAAAGATTAATTTGGTAAGTAGTTTGCTGCTATAATTTAAAGCTGAATCTATGGTTGTTACTAAAATTTGAAATTCGTGTAATTAAAGGACTCATTGAAATGAACATACTATGAAAAGAACTGAGCTCAATACTCAAACCATCATTCTAAAGTATTAGCAACACATTTATTGAGTATTTAATCGAGCTGAGTCTAAATTAGAATTTGATTTTTATGAAAATATCATGTTATGAGTTAATTAAGGCTAATTAGAATTTGAATTTAAAAAAAAAGAATAACGTTATGAGTTAATTAAGGTTAATTAGAATTAGATTTTTTAAAATAAGAATAACGTTATGAGTTAATTAAGGCTAACTAGAATTAGATTTTTTAAAATAAGAATTAAGTTATGAGTTAATTAAGACTAATTAGAATTTGAATTTTTATCAGGGATTTCACCAGGACACGTAACCAATGCAAGCTGACAACTCTGTCGAATTGGCCAGATCAAACTTCGTAATTTAGATTTTTAAATTATTATCCTCACTGTTTCCAATGATCCAAAATTGTTTTTATCTACCTCACTGATTTTTCAAAATGCTGTTTCTTTCCTTTGTATAATGTGCACGGTTAACTAGAAATATTCTAATACTTTTATAGCCCTGATTCATGCTTTTATTTTATTTTGTAAAAACTTTAAAACTTTAAAAAGCATTTTACCTTTGAATTTTTTGGCCTTTTATTGAACGAAAAAATACTGTGACTATTAAAATTCTTAGCTAAATAAATAGAGATTTCAGAACCCACTTGCTATATCTTTTATTACTGCATTTAAAAAAACAACTTGACATAGACATTCATTTTGTCATTCAGTCTGTAAAGGGGTTCAAGTCAGGGCTGATAGAGCCATTATGTTATATGAACTTAAAACACATAGTTTGTGATGTGTCGCTTGTATTGTATTTGTGAATATAGGTTGACCATAAGAGAAGTTATACTTTTGAATAAAATATTGGCACTATAGATTTAGGAGTTTTGACAAAAATTAAATAATAAATTGTTTGAAGCATCACAGATTGTCGTATTGGATGGGGAATCATTACACCAAAAATGTAAAACTATTTTAAATAAAGCAATATCCCACCATTTAGTTTAGCGTTGAGTTTTTTTTTATGTTACTGACTTTCCGTTATCAATGTTGTTTACAATCACATATTGAATTTTCAGTTTTTATCACTCACACTGCTGCACACACACACCCCTTGTACACACACACGTTTTTTTTTTACAACAAAATGACTTCTTATTATTCAAGTTTGAGAGAAATCGGGCGGTTATAAGTGGTCGAAATTTCCCTCGACCGTTTCAGCCAGTGGCGTAGCTAGGATTTTTGGGCCCTTATGCAAAAATTATCAGTGGGCCCCTTCGTCAGCCGTTAGGGTACAACGGAGTTAAACGAAGAAATAAATGCTACTCCTGATAAAAGAATTTTAAATAATATAATTTTTAAAAATATGTTTATATTATATTATTATGTATTTTTTAAAGTGTTACGGGCTTACAGTTAATTTGTTTTTTCAAGTGATCAAATACAGTAGCGTGATTTAAGACAGGGGGCAGAAGTGCGGTCCGCATTTGATGACAACATTTATACCTGAAACTTTGACAAAATATTATAAAATGTATTGTCAAAGCTGAGTTGTATCCAGCTAAAATAATAAAAGATTAACGAGAGTAGGGTGAAATGCAAAATTGCTGGGAATGATATGATAACACCTTAAGTAAACGCTTAGGGTAACACCCGACTTTTTGAAGCCACTAACCAAACACAATTTTTAAAAATAATGCTCATGATTTATTTAGATCTGTTTCTTTTTCATACTTTTAATTTTGTAAAATTATTAATAAATTCATTGAGATCTACTTAAGCTGCTTTTGTATGTTTGATGTTTAGGATAGCCAAGCTACTGACCGAATGGGCATATCTAAAATTTGTTTCATAATAAATAACATCATCATAATGAGCAAATAATTACATTTAAACACGAACATCAAAATCTCTTTCCCGACCTCCGTGGAATGTTAAAGAATGTTTAAACTAACTAGCGTACCCGTCCGCGTTGCTGCGATCTAGTCCCACATACCAAGGTAACAAAAATATTTGTAAGGGTTTCATCAACGTGTTACCAAGTGCATATTTTTAGTGGTG